CGTATAAAAACAAACGTTTAATAACATTTTTCAATTTATAGACGTAATAGGTTTATATTATTAGGTATATAATATATTGATGCTGATTTCTTAGTTAACATCAACAGATGAATTCGATGTACTATGTATTAAATACCGAAAAAATATATTCATAGTAACTTTTTATTCCAAATTAAAGACTTCTATGTTAATGTACATCTCTTCAAAGAAATCAAATGCTCTGTCAACAGGTCGGATGTATATTTATCCTGACTTAGTGCAGGAAATGATGTGGAAATAGCCAATGTCCTGGGGTTGATCTGTTGTAGGTGTGGCGAAGGATCAACCCCTTATTCTATTTTTGTACATTGCCTGTTGTTTTTTTTTAATTATTAATTTGTTTAATACGGTACTTCTGCTTCTGTTCTTTAGTACTTATACATTCCCGTATATCCGTAGAATTATTTATATAATATATTATGTACACTTATTTATCTAGCCACAAAGTTCCACATCGCATTATTATATCCATGTAATTGTGGTGGGATCACTATTTTTTTAATAATATAATCTCCTACGCGTTGTTGCTTACTTACTTGTTAAAGATGTACGTAGCATAGATTAAAGAATTAATAAAATCAATTAAATGTTTTATGAGTTTATCTGTTACAAACAAAATTTTAAACTTCGTTGAAAATTATCAAACATTAGATTATTGCTATAAATACAGATTAATCAGTATACTTAAATTGTTTTATTGATTGGTTTCAAAGGTCACTTCGTTTGCTACTGGGTGGTCTTTTACAAAAAAAATACTTGTCATTCCATTGCCGACTTATCATTTAATTTCTTCTATTTTCTCCAGAGGCACCTCTATCGTATATATCGGCAAGAACATAACGTCGTCATATGGCATATGTGGTTTCCATGAAGCTTTGCAATCCCGGAACACTAATGAGTAATGCTTATGTATGTCACTCTTCAACTGAAATAGCTTACAAAGAAGCTGCTTTGCCTTAGGTTTAAAGGGGTGAGGCAGAGGTACTTGCGTACTTCCTATAAACTCTACTTTGCTAAATCCCGTTTATTTAAATGTAGGCATGAAAGTGTTATTTTGCTTATTGCCAATTTTCTGGTGTACTGAACAAAGTTGTTGCCACATCGCTCCTGTCAAAAGTTGTCCACATTGTTCGCTTCGCAGTCTGACTGCATTTCGTAGTTCAATAATTGTTTCGAGTTTAACTTCCAAATGAGCATTACAGAGCAGGGTTACCAGCCATAAAACTTATTGCCTAGAACAAAGAATTTTAATAATATTGTACCTTTGTTAGTTCTCCAACGTCGTAGTTTATATTTTGGCAAAGAAGACAGAACAAGAAAGGCGGTGCGAGAGTTACCAACAAAAATAGCATTGATACTTTATATTACACAAAAACTTTATGATATTTATTTTTGTTTTTGAGTTTTATCCCAAATATACCACATCATTTTCTTTCAGCGACTTGAACACGCATTTGGATTTATATAACATTATAAAATTATTGGTTACTACAGTAAAAATCTCTTCATAAATGTCCTTAAGTCAAAATCGCGTATATATATTTGTACAAAGATGATAATTTTTTGTCATCGTACATCGTTTCGAGGACAAAAATGTCGCACCCGTTCCTTTTTAATGGCTGATAATAACATGGTACACCCGCCTGCGCTATTGGTTTACGCTGGTCAGGCAGCAGTGACGAAGAATTACGATAAACATGATGTCAGATAAGTTAGGCCATGGTGACGTATTCATCAGGAATTAACTACATTGATTTTTAGGGGGACCGCGTGGAGATCAACCTGACTTGGTACATTGCTAGCAATGGAGTTCATTCTTCGTTCTTCACATTACTAACAATCCCCTCCCCCCCCTGATCTCGTATGCGTAGGATACTTGTACGGTTAGCAACCCTAGAGAGCATTACGTCATTATGATTGCGGAATTTGTATTCAGGTGAATGGAGTTAGTGATTACTGTGTGAATTAAAATTATTATTTGGGTTTTACCTAGTGTAAACTAATTATAAAGTGAGAGTATGAATTTTAGGAATATGTGTGTCTTCTAAGTATGTTATCCGTAATCGCAGCACCAATTACAAGAATTCTTTTTTTCATTCATGAGTAATATTTAATGAATATAGAACATGTGATATGTATATTTTTTGTCTTTGTCTCTATGACATTTTCTCAAACTATGAAATTCGGAAATATTAAATCAAAGTAACACGTAGACTATTTGCTTTCCTAATAACTATTTCTGTTTCTTTTTTTATTCATCAAAATGTAGATTACTTTTCTTAAATTTAATCAACAGTAAATCTTTGCTTAAATTAATTTAGTAACGTAATTTACTACATTTATAAATTAAAAGATTCTTATATTCATATTCTTATGTTTATAAGAAGTTTTTTTTTATATGAAAACAAAATATTTTAATGTTGATTGCACGAACTTGTATAGGAACGTAGTTACGTTAGGATGTACCGACCCAATTTGTTGTTCCGTGTACCAACGACTGACATACCCTCGTTTCAACATTTATGGTATCATGGCACGCCGTTAAAGGTTTATTTTGTTTGTTAAACTTACCTATAGCCAAATTGATGATTGTTTATTGTAAATGGTTCAACCTAGGGTTAGGTTAAACTCTTTCAAAGGTAAATGAAATTATAAGTTGCTGATATCTTCATATACATAAATTGTAATATATTATGTATATAATATAGTAGTTTAACAATTTTTTACGTAGGTAAACTTTGTTAAGTCTTCTGCTTCGATCCTCGATACCTACCACATTACTAACAATCCCCTTTCCCCCAATATGGAAGGTTGTAACCAGTGACATGAAATAATGGTCATCAGTTTTCCATAAAACTGAATAATTGTGGTCTTACTCATACTAATGGTAGTGGAAATAAACGAAATAAAACAAATCTATAAACTATTGAACTATTGGCATGCAGGTTTGTAGATCTCAAATAAAAAAGTTGAATAGTACTGGGTAATTTAGCTTAGCAAGAGAATGTACTAGGAATTCTCACAAGCCATTTACGGTGGTAGTTTGAAAAGAAATACTGCGACCGCTGTATTTTTTGCGAAATAAACGTGATCGCTTTGGTTCATTTGGAAATTTAATTACAAAAGCCATTTGCCGTTTATACGACAATGTGAAATTAGTGTTGCTGACGCACTGGTCACTTAATTTATATTTCACCGCCTTATTTCCGATGGTGGCGGGTTCGACTCTTCGCACGATACAAACATTTGTATTCATGAGTATGATTGTTTGTATTGGTCTGTTGGTTTGTATTATTCTATGTATATTATGTAGACATACATAATATACATAGAAAACACACAGACCGATACGAACAAATATTTGCATCATGCGAGGAATCGAACCCGCGACTATCGGAAACAAAGCGATGTGCTAGACCGCCGAGGTCGACAATAATGATATAAGCTAGTTTGTATTCACTCCAACTAATGCAATCACATTAGTGAATTTGTCAACTACCGTTGAGTTGAGCATGATAGACGATTTCCGAAAGCGTTCTCCCAATTTGAACTGATTGATGACTACACCGATTGTAAATCTAACGACTATTGCATTGCCTTGTAATACTTTAGAAACAATACTATTGGTATTTATTTATTCATCCAAAACAATATAAACTGTGTAGAATTACATACGAGGTCTATAATGTAGTAACTTAAATAATAAATCTTGATATGTCAGCAAGTACCTATAGTGCGATGGTCAACCGAAGTCAAAATGGTTATCATTGTAATAATCATCTACGGAATAGTAATGAATAAGTCAATAAAAATGCCCTCTAGTTTCAAACAATATACTTTTAATTCAATTGATAATTTATTTCACATAAGACAATTTAATAATTATTAAATTGTTTTACGTGAAATATATTATATACCGTAAAACATTGCTGAATAGAAAAAAAAAATATTTACATAATTAGAAGTCATTTTGCAAAGTCGTGCTAGAATTAATTCAGCCGCGTGAATATTATATTTAATTACCTTTTTTCCGTAAATTCATTGTTGACAGAAAAGAAGTTGAAAGGACAATCTCGCTTAGAATTATAGCAGACCTACGGGGATTAAGTTTAATGGACAAAGTTGGTTGGTTGGTTCGTTGGTTTTCCGTCTGTAAATGTGTATTTTTGTTTAATTTATCGTAACTTTCACTTTTTTGTAATCAATCTCTTCCCCGCATTTTCTTATTAGAAATTAAAATTGAATAGTATTTATTAGCATATTTTTTTGGGTTTTTTTATTCTCTAATTATATCTCCCAATATGATGATATTAAAGGAGATACGAGTTTGTATAAATGTCCCTTCTCGCTAAATATCCAGCACTGCCAAAGCCAATGAAAAACAATTAAATAAGTAAAACGAGGCAAGGTGACTTACCTAAAACTTTACCACAACTGAAAGTTGTTAAGAAGCTCCAAAATTTCAGCAAGTTTGTCGCGGTGGCGTGTCTTTGAGTAGCTAACAAATAAAACTTTAATAATTATACTTTTTGCCAAAATTGTCAGTGTTAAAGTTTGGACAGTTGAATTTATTTGCCATTTATATATTTTTAATCTACATTGCTTTAATCTATAATTAATTAAATTGTAATTTGCTTTAGTTAAGAAATTTAATTATAGAATTTGAAAGGACTTAATTGGAATATTATTCAATTAAGTCTAGTATTGATTTTGCGTCTAATTTATGTGTTACTGAATTTTCTCTTAGCGTCAGGTTTTTTAAAATCGATAGAACTTTACTTTATATATTTAATGCCTTTGGAATAATATTTTCTAGATAATATCGTTGAAATACTATGAGTGTATGTCTTTCATATATTTATAACGCAATATTCCGTACGTACCGTGCGTGTACATTTGCCTTATATAATTATATTTAGTTACGTGTAACCATACTAAATTATTATTTAATTTATTTTCAGTTGTGCGGTTGAGGTGAGCTCGGCACCATGGGGAAACTACTCTCGAAAATCTTCGGTAACAAGGAGATGAGGATATTGATGCTGGGACTCGACGCTGCTGGAAAGACTAGTATCCTTTATGATATGTTATTCATATTTATTATTCATATGCTAGAGATTACCTTATTACTTTTTTAAATCTTGCCAAATGTTGCCTTTTTTACATTGACAAAAGGCTCCTGCCTCACATTATTAGTTTATAATAAGCAGTTTTAGTAAGTTATCTCAACTAAGTATCTGTTATATAGTATACCTTCATATTTTTTATTTTATGGTAATATAAATATTGCAAATCGTGATTGAAAAATAGATGTAGGTACTCGTACTTTAGACAGACTAGAGGTGGCTATTAGCTGCTTCATAAATCTTACCGCGGATATCCATTGTCGTTAAGAAAATAGGTGCGGTGTTGAGCCGCACCTATTTTCTTCTGGCGAAGATATAAAGACCAACAATGTCCAACATCATTATTCTAGTGTATAGTTAGAAAAAAAAAATACTGCTAGTAAACGTAGTATCGCTTTAAAATTGTTTCTTTTTGCACCGGTTGGCACGAGACAAAGATGATTTCATGCTCGGGTGAAGATGCATGCTGTACACGTGGCATCTACTTGCATAAATGAATTTTAATGATTTAATCACAATGTTCTCTCGTCGGTAACAATCGTGGGTATTCGCATACCATACGCTCATTATTTAATTAGAACTAACAATGTAACCGAATCAATTATGATATATTGCTCAGATTGATTCAATTTGTATAGCTATCATGTTAGATTTGATTCGATTATCTATAAACATTTAATATTAAGTAGGTAGGGTTTACACTACCTTTGATGTAATAAACGCTTTAGTATGTCACTCATTAATGCCAATGATTTTACATCATACGCCTGTTTTCTCCACCTAAATTTGGTCTCGATTTTCTTGAATGGGATCTAGAATGATTTGATCAATGTATTTTAAAAGAAGCTGGTTATCGATTCAGATGTTTTGTGTGTATGTTTGATTATAGCTAACTCTTATACCTAATTAGTTTTTTTTATTGACGACGTTTACATTCATTATATATAATGTAATGTAATATTAATATAATGTAATGTAATGTAATGATATATTGCTCAAATTAATTATATTTGTATAACTACCATTTTAGATTTGATTTGATTATCTGTAAACATTTAATATTAAATAGGTAAGATTTCTACTACCTTTGATGTAATAAACGCTTTATAACTTTTCTCATTACTTACGCTTTTACATCATGTCTCTGTTTTCTCTATTTAAATTTGGTCTCGACCTTCTTGAACTTGATTAGATCAGTCGATTTTAAAAGAAGGTGGTAGTCGATTAATTTGTTTTGTGTGTGTATGTGTATACTTGATTGGCGTTAACTCTCGTAACTAGTTTTTTTTATTGAGGAGGTTTACACTTTAATTAAATGTATTGATATTCATTTCTTTAAGATGACAGTTGAGTTCGTTTTGTTGTGCAATATCTTCAATGTTTTCTATTTGTAAATGTATTGTTATGCAGCACACTAGCTGTGTCCCGTAGTGCTGGTCTGTGGAATATCTCCTGAATTTTTCTCTGATTAAGAAGATTTGATAGGTGCAAGAATATTTAAAATAGGTATTATATTTTTGTGTATTAAATATAGAAAATCGAATCTTTCGTATTTATAATATTAGTATAGGTATAGAAATATAGAAAAGAACTAGTTCTATATATATTTTTTTGCAAAATACATTACTTTTAGTTTAAGTATTTCCTGTGTCTGGTTATACCTACTCCATATTTCTTTAACCAATTGATTACAGCTATTTTATATAAGTTAAAATTAGGTCAGTCAGTCACAACGATACCTACGGTCGGCTTCAACGTGGAAACTGTGACGTATAAAAATGTCAAATTCAACGTGTGGGACGTAGGGGGGCAAGACAAAATACGACCGCTCTGGAGGCATTACTATACAGGTAAGGCAGATTTGCATTTTCTTTTCTTAATTGATGATAATGAATGTTGCACCCTCTTGCCCTGACGATATACCCTGGCGGGGCACCAGTGCAGTGTGATACTATGACCATCAAGTTAGGTCAGTAAGCCCGTCATAGGGTACTAAACCACTGATAATATAAAAACCCCTAGACAATACAAACAATGATAATCATGAGTACAAATGTTAGCAACGTGCGAGGAATAGAACCGGCAAGCATCGGAGATAACGCGGTATGCTAAACCACTAGACCACCATGACTATCATCACCATGTGCTCCCGCCTAACAGTATTGGTGGTGTATCTTTTCAGGCACTCAAGGTCTAATTTTCGTGGTAGACTGCGCGGACCGCGACCGCATCGACGAGGCGCGCCAAGAACTCCATCGGATCATAAACGACAGGGAGATGCGCGACGCGATCATACTCATCTTCGCCAATAAGCAAGACTTGCCCGAGGGTATGTTTTTATGTAACTCGAATGGCAAATAAGCTGGCTACTCAGGTCAGTAGTCAGCTTATTTGTCCTTATTGTAAAAAAAAAATATCAAATGTGACCAATACAATCACAGGTCGACTGTAGACGATCGTCTTCGTCAATCGTGAAAAATATTTAAAGAAATTTTACCTCGTCTAAAATGTATATAACTGTGATATGCGAAATGACTGCGTCACTCGATGCTTAAAAAGGATATCTTATATTAGGTTGTACATATATCTAAAGGGATATCGCTGGTAAGACAGTGAAAATTATAACCGATTGGTATAATCTATTACTAATCTTTGAAATTTTCTACTGGCCACAATAACAATTACTACGTTACGATCGGGTCACGCCCTTCTCCCTACTAGCCTGCCCAACTCCACAGGGGGTGAATTCTCGTTTCAGTCTTATCAAACTAATAAACTTTATTGTATCTGAGGTTCTCAACATCTCAAATGTCTTTTTCTGAGTGGTTTCGACGATATTTTCGCCAATCGTGAATTGTAATGTACCTATATCTTTTTTATTAAATTCATTTACCTATATAATGATTACTTGCAAATTTTATCAGACTCGGAAAGTCTTTGAATGATTTTTATAAGTAGATTATAAATCGGATGGACCTCGCTAACGATGTACGCTGGTGGGACATCAACAAAGGATCATAAAATGAGCATTTATGTCAAGTCTATCAGCCCATTGTGGCTATTTCATTAGGAATTATCCATGATGATTTCATGAGAGGTCGACTTGACCATTGCTAGCAATATGTTCACTAGTCATCGTTACTTCTAATCTCCTGCTCTACACTGATTACAATTTATGTAGTAGATTTTATTGTTATCGCAAAAAAGAAATATTAACAATATAAGCTAGATAAATATAGATATAGAAAAAAGCCATTTTTTCGCTAACAATAGAAAAACTATGCAATTTTATAAGACTAAACTAGTATTATAAATACTGCATTTTTTTGTCAACCGCTGTTTACCCTTAACTTCTACAACAAAACGCTAACCCTTACATCATTATATTTACAATACATTTGCTTTACTCTCCATAATAAAAAAATAAACCCAGTCCATGTTGGTGTTCCAGCAATGAAACCTCACGAGATACAAGAGAAGCTGGGCTTGACGCGCATCCGCGACCGCAACTGGTACGTACAGCCGTCGTGCGCGACCACCGGCGACGGACTGTACGAGGGGCTCACGTGGCTCACCAGTAACCACAAGTTATGAGCTGCGGAGTAGGCGGTCCAGCCGCCACCATACCGCACGCGCCACGGTAATACACCTACATGTATAACTTACTTTTGTCTCCGATTTTGTCTGCTTATGACAGCAAAGAATTTAATATATTATTTCCTGCACTTTTAAATACAATATACAAAATACATATTAGAAATTTTGTGGGCTAGTAACGTAACCAGTCAACGTAAATCAGCGTGATACAGGAAGTGGTGTTTGAGTCACAAGTGCAAATAATAATTGTATGAAAAGACTAAAGTAAAATCACTAAAGTCCAATACAATATGTAATAAACACAATATATAAATCTAGATGAATATATTTAATACATAAATATATAAGGGGTACTTAATTAGCATCCCTTTACGCGTCGTAGCATCCCTTTATATCCCTTTTTGCTTTTACGCGGGTTATTAAACCTCAATTACTTTAAAATTTAATTTAAATTATTTAATTTGTCGAGAGACTTAATAATAGATAATTGACTTATATATATACTTCAAGATTATAAAAATACTTGAAATAAAATATAAATATATTCATATAAATATATGAAATAATAAAGAAATATAAATATGAATAAAAATGTATATGATACTTAAAATGTTTTATCTGTTTTTCAGGTGAGGTTATCGATGCCATTTAATTTAAGTAAGCTGCGCCGGCGCCGTCGGTTAAATTTATTCCATTGTGAACCAGTGCCGAATTGGATGCGTTATGTCAGTGATGGTTCAAATAATCGCGGGACACTAACTGTGCCGCCTGTCGTCTGCCAGACATTGTTAGCTAAACGTTGAGCCAGATGACCTTTACACCAACGATAAATTAATTATTCCATTATTTAATTTAACAAATTAGCGGTTTGTTGTATATCTAAATATATTTGATTATTTTTTTATGTTATTTAAAAATGAAAATTATTACGTAGAGTAAATGTTTTTTTTATTATCAATTATTATGGTCAATTTAATGTTTACCTTCTTTGTATAATAAGGTATAGAGTATTGAAGTGTTGCGAGCGAACATGATGCGTTTACGCAGTATAAATTATTGTATTTGCTTTGGATTGCACGCCTGCCGATTTGAGGTTATGTGTGGTGGCTTGACTTTTGCTTGCAAACGAAACTTATTGTTTATGAATATGGTTAATGGCCCATAATGAATAATATATGTAATATAAAACACCGTTTATTCTTTTATGTATTTGATTGAAAAAAATCATTCAACAGAATATTAAAATATTTAAATTGTATTAAAAAAAAAGGGTGATCAACCTCTGATGATGATTATTTTAAGTAGTTGCCATGCCTCGCAGTTAGATTTTTATATAATTTAAACAGTGAGTAAATTTGATGAATGATTTCCTGACTGTAATTTAATAGGGCGGCATTAGTCAAGCTAACATTATACTTGTACATAAAGGTCTCAATATGTACATATTGAAAATAAATATTGTGTTGATTTTTAATACGATAATATTACAAGTTTCGTACCGATAATAGTAATTTGGGTGATATCACTGTATAATTTCTAAGTTCTAGTAATGAGTTCGTTTCTCATCTCATCCCACGATATTGTTCAAAACAATATACAACGAGTAACAGAACTGATGCAATTCAAAATGTAACCAATTTAGTTTTTTTTTATGTAATTGGAAACAAGCTGAATAGAAATACGGAAATCACGTTATGTGACACCGATACTACCCATATGTTACCTTTCCAGTGAACTAAGATGTCATGCCTCTTATAATGTTTTTCTTAATAATTTCAATATATAATAGTTAATTGTATTACGAAATGTATTTTGTTTTCAAAAGTATGGGCAAACTATTTTATTAGTGTTATGAATTGTAAAGGTACATGATTTAGTGATGTGGTAATACAAAATTTAACAAATATTTTCTAACAATTTAATAGCGGATACTAAACGGTTTCTACTAATTTAATTCTGTTGCGAGTTTATAATGTAAAATTTAATTATTTATTTCCTTGTTTGGAAGTGTGATATCACCCCTATAATGTTTAATAAAGCGAATCATATTATGCTTTGGCTTTGGATGTAATCGGTTATATATAAGGTTAAGTCCGGGACCATCAAATTTTTATGATTTCACTAACATTTTGTTGCGGACTTGGAAATGAGAATTGAATGTTATTAGAATATATTCACTATTCCGTTGTTATTTATGCCAACAATTGTAACTGCCGCGTCTCTATTATAGTGTTATTTATATTAATAGTCGAGAGTAGATACAGAATTATTTAAATGCAGTAAAGAGTTGTTTTATTTTCGCTTGGTGATTAATGTCTTAGAATTCAGTCCGCAATGCAATATCACTCTCATTGCCAGGTCTTAAGGGCCGTATTTGAATATTATTTTTCTTGCCTATGCATAATTTTTGGACAAGGTGTATAATTGCAATTTTCATTCCTGTTAGACTTAAAAAATCAGACCTTATTTCCTTACAGGTAGGATACTTCATCCCGTTTATTAAATCATTAAATTCCACCACTTAGAGTATCAATAGATATCTCAATTTTAGATATCAATACAAAAATTGTATTGAATGCAATAGAAGTTTAATTTGAACTACATGTGTTTGTAAATTATACCAACAACAGATAATAGGTGCATTCTATTAAATACCTGTATGAAAATAAGGATAATTTTACTACATTAAGTCTGGAGAGTTATGTTTTTTTTGAAGTGAAAAAACATGTTACTTGTCTAAAGATACTTAAGACCTTTCGTGTATTAACGACGATCGTTACAAGCGGAGGAGTTTTTCTGTTAAATCTCACCTATACTTTGTGATATATTATTTCTGTATCTTAACCTTTATTAACCTTTTTATCTTTAATTGTGTATGAATGTTTCGTAATGCAAATATTTCGAGGAAATATGACAATATTGCTGATTCGTAACGCGCCAAATTTGATACATTTGTAAGTATCCCTCTAAGTACAGTCATCATCCTATATACTTAACTATACTGTAACGACTCGTCGGTCAAGCGGTTTAGCACTTCGCCTAACTTCTGATTGTCTCGGGTTCGATTGCTCGTACAATACAAACGTTTGTATTCATGAGTTATCCAACCTTGGAGCTAGATGGTGCTGTGTGAATTGTCCTGGTTTATTATTATATATAATGGCGCATATTTCGATGTTAAGTTATAAATCATATATAATATATAAATTATTTAATATTTGTGTTTGTGTAAACGTGGAAAAAGTTGATACTGTTCTAATATGTGCCTGTAGATATCAGAGCGAGATAAAAATATTTGCTGTCTCTTTCTCCTTCGCGCATAAAGTTTACTTTTTTAACTTAAATTGTTTAAGTGCGTAAAATAAGCATGTTTTAGTCTTCGGCTGTATACCAAAGTGTTGAGATGAAATCTACAGCCACGTATTTCAGAAATGTACACGTGTATATGATGTTGACTGTACTCGTATTATAATGTAGGCGAATGCAATAAATACATTTTAGATATTCTTACACGATAGTTAGTACATAACAAATTGTAGAGAATCGCGAGAACGTAGATCGAAATTATTCTTGTTGCATTCGTCACGAAACTGTTGTATGTATCATTGTTTTTAACAGAAATGTACAGAAATACCTATTGAGGGATTAATTAAAAATTATAGAAAGCTAGTTTATCAGTTAAATAACATGGCCTGTATTTTATTATCTAATAAAATCCTGTAGCTATTTCATGTTTGTATAGACGCGTCGAGGCGTCAGTTCCTTTATAAAAGAACACATTAAGACGAAATATCAAATTTATAAACGCTTATCAAATGAATAAGCGAGCGAGATTATATTTATATGTGAATGTTATACAAAGCAGTGTTATGGTTTATATTGCCTATAATATATTGATTTAGAAGACAGATGTATAGGGAATACTCTATATTTTCGTGTAAGATATCTTAAATGTATCGTTGAAATATAGTCTAAATTATTGTTTTGTTTGGACTAGGTAGATTAAAATAGCTGCTTTATGAGAATCACATTTGTTTCCTATACAGAATTATAGTTGAGGTGTGTTTGTCCACCGAATAATACGTAAAGTGGCTTTTTTAATTTATGAAATAGTTGGTCTAGATAGCTTAATTTTGCCCTATGCGTTCGGCATTATTTCATTATTAGGTATGCTTGTAAAATTGAGATTATTGCCTGTTTTGTGCATTGGGCGGCATTGATAGATATATTGGCCGGCAAATTTAGATTTTGTCATATATATTTACAATAGGAACTAAATATCGTGCACGAGTCGCACAGTATGGATATTTTTTATCGACAACATAAATGTGTCGTATTGTGACGGTAAATTTACACATCGTGTCGTGCGACAATAATCTGTAAAAGCAAGTATTGTCGACCAGTTCCTCGTAACCTCGCTAAATATATTCGTCTAAGAAACAGGTAGTTCAAAAATATTTCGCCCATTTTGAGAATATAAAAAAATATCGATAGGTTATCACTTGCCATCAGGTGGTTGCTATTGTCACTCGGTATTCTAATTAATTGTAAATTTCTAATCGGCAAGTAGTTGCTAGTCGACTATAGGCTATAGGAACATTGTATCGCAAATTTTCTACGTACGGTTTTTCCGCAAATATATTTAACAGTATATTACAGTATTTATATTGTATATACATGTGTGCACAGATCGCGCCTAAATTATGTGTAATGTTACATATGCGAAAACAAATGGCGCGGTGAAAATACAATATATATATATATACATTGCCGCTTATTCATAGAAATAAACCTGTTAAATGTTGAATTTATTTGCGTTTTTCAATTTGCTATATTTCTAATATGAAAGACGGTATATGATAAAACATGAGTATGTTGGTTTTCGTTTTTATAAATAAGAGATTGTGAGAACCGAGCCGAACCGAGAGTGAATATTTTTATTATCATGGTTTCTGTAATATATGGCAACTGTATATTATATACATACTAAAATATTGTAACAAGATAAAGTACATAAAAAATCGTCGCAGAGAAAATTTGCAAAGCGGATATACCCTGTGAATACGAAATTCAGAGTAAGCTTTAACTCGACAAAGCAATGAAATTTACTACACACCTATACATTTACAATCGAACCTTTTCTATTAGATTATTAAATAAAGTGCAATTAAATTTATAGATTATGCACTGAGATGTAAAAAATGAAAAAGTATGTATGTAATTTATGATTTCTAAATTGATTTTACCCAATGTCTATGTTTTGTATGGGAGTGTGGAAAGAGCTGTATAATATTGTAGAAAGGTTATTCAATATAAATCACACTTATAATGTATTGTTTTATTTATTGAGAGTATTATTTTTTCGCTGTAGTAAAGAGATATTGAGAAGACTTATTTTATTACTATTTCTTACTTTTATATTTATCCTTGGATGCAACTCTTGAGTTGTTTGTATGTTGTAGGTAATTAAAACCCTTTCATAATATCAGTAATCATCCAATCAAGATACATTAATATTCGACCAAAGTTCCTCTTCGACTTTAGCATTAGCCTCATCATTTTCCTACGTGCTTTTAGGCCAATATCTCTATGATAATTAATACTGAATCGCATTTAACTTTGTATCTAGGAATTTTGTATCTTAAGTCAAGACCATAAGATAAATTTTAGCAGGTGTTATCATTGGAGGTTGCTGTGATCGATGAATCGGTTGTAACGTCATCGCATCGAGGTGGCAGAATTATTTGTAGCTCTTCAGTTAGCTGGACATCATCGTCTGGTACCGTGTCTAATGGGACATGGGTGTCATATTCTTCGTTTGTGGAAACGCCACTGAAATTATAAGTCAAAGATATAAGCCACGTTTTGGCAACATGAAAAGGTTACGCGATAAACTTTAACATAAAAATATAGACATAATTAATGACCCTAGTATTAATATTTGTATAAATAGTGACAAATTCGCCTCGGTAGTCATCTCGTCATGATAGCTGACTTGACTGACCTGACGTGCATATTGTGTCTTCACAGTGCAGATGGGTGACATATTCATTGTTAAAACGATCAGATCCATAACGCCCAGTTGGCATCAGGCAATTTTACTCGCGAACAAAATATCCTCTACACATGTGTAAATTTTTTTTTTATTTTCACGTACTCTAGTTGGTCTCCAGCTCGGGCGCCTGCTAACACAGACGTATATAGCCTTGCTCGGGCTCCATGCAACCGCATGGCAGCTGGCACGTCTTCAGTTCCAGCACGCGTCTCGGGTATCGGGTGCAGCGGTTTGACAACACTACCTTCGATTATAAAATATATTTACACTTGTTATTATTAAACTTTGTGAAACACGAAATAATAATAATAAAGATGTTTATTTTGGTATCAATGGCACATTTGTTAGCTTTTTTTCTAATCTAATTTGAGTAAAGTTCATCTTTATATTTTGAATTTGAATCTATCTAGTATTACAGTTATAGTCATTATATTGTTAGACCTCTGCCTAACTAAAGTACACTGATAAAATATTGTAACATAGACAAATCAATATTTTTCATCAATGTGTTCAGAATGTTGGAACTACAGCGCATTCTGAATAGAATAGAATCAAATAGCAAATCATTTATTCAAATAAACTTACATTGAAGCACTTTTGAATAGTCATTACATTTTTTAATCTACCGCTCATTCGGAAAGCTGTCTCATCACAAGAAGAACGAGTAAGAAACTTGCGTGTTGCTCTTTTAAATAATTTTATTATTATTTTACATTTTTAAGTGTGTGAATACAAACCACCAATTAGCACTAATTCAATTAAATACTCAAATAGAAAAAATATTGAATATATAACCAAATGGGTAAACAATTATTAAGAGGAAATCAGTCATAGTGATTAGAGCAGACCAATCCCTACAAGCAGCACCCGTTCACGAGTAGGTATGACGGATGAGCCAGCCATCACTGCGCTCGACCATATTTTAGGGAGCTTTATTTTAGGACCCAGCCCACCACGCCGCCACGAGTCCGGACATTTTAGTGAGCATGACTACTCAAAACACTAGACCTCGTCATATAAGAAATGATAACCGTCGCCTATATCTAAGTATTAAAAAACTACCAGATACATCCCAAAATATGTAGTCAGATGTATGGTCGCCTCAACTGTAGATATGATAGATGAATATTCATACCGTCATCTAAATTAATAGCTTCTTTATGTTCTATGTCTTCAGATCTGTTCTTTTCGTCTGGTGACTGCATCACCCTTCCGAGATCATGCTTGCTGTCTGAAACCAGTTTTTTTAGTATGTATGTAATTACAAAAAGAACAATAAACTACAGTCGGAAAATATTTAAAATTCTTTAATTGATTTATTATTATTAACAACATTAAACCAAAAAAAAATATATAAATATATTAGCTGTTCGCGTGGTTTCTGATATAAGCTATATTACTGTAAAGTTTCATTAAAATCTGTTAGATACGTAGTTTTTACGTGAAATAGTAACAAATATCCATATTCACAAACTTTCGCCTTAAAATTCATTTAATTTTGGAGATTATGTCTCTTAGGTATGTGGTTATTAAAACAACACAGGCATAGATAATTGAAAAAATTCTCTATTTTTAAGACGACTGTTTAGATTTATTGTAATGGTGAGCAGACCGTTTTTAGCATGTGGCAAATCAGCGTAGCCCCGGAACAGTGTTTCCAGCTCATTGGGGGTCATGCGGCGGAGATATGGAACCTGTTTCAGGTCTGGTCGGTGCAGGCTTCGGAAGGAATTGCGGTGCTAGAAATTGTATAAAACTTTTAGCTGTTAGTTTATTTTTGGAATAATATTAGTATTATTTTAATAAATATCGTAAAATACAATATGTAAGATATATATTTTTTTAAAATTAATAAATTAATTCTTTATATTATTAAGTAATAAAAAGTTGTTTTTAAAAACTATCACTCCCTATAATGTCGTGATCATTAAATGACTATTGGAAGGGATTGAGATGTCTATTTATACTGAAGTGTTTAGGAAAACAAAAACAAACGCAGACTGAAGAAAATGTATCTTAAAAGTTTAAATATAAAAAAATATTTAAGCTTTAATTTTCATGCATATTATTTGTATAATTTTGTAAAATATTTCTCTGCCGGTGCTGCCTATATGCCTATCATAATTAGTACACTTGTAGCCGATGTAATACCTTAACAAATCCAGGAGGAACTTGCATACGCTCACAGGCCCGTGACATGCTCAGAGAGTGTATCTCACCGTCATGTTTCACGGAGATAGCAGATAATCCACTGCGAACTAGGTCTTCGTTGATCTATTATATCGTCGTAAATAAATACATTATTGTAATCCTAAATGCTATAATTATAAGTATTGTCAACTATCGACGTAGTGTTAAACGCTTGACATGCTACGTTTCGCAGGGTGTATTCTTATCCAACGGGTACAGGGCCAGCCTAAGCCTCCTAGACTACGACTACGTCACTCTTTCCTCTTATATCATTATTATAAGAAATTTACGGGAATAATAACTTTAACCCCAATTTTAGACACCGTAAAATTACAATTAGGAACATTTTACAAAGTATAAAAATGCAAACTTTTCTTTAACAATTTATTTTCAATAATTCTGATTTATTATATCAGATTCTTTTGTCAGTTTTAGTAAGTAGTAAAATATATTTGCATGAATACTTGAAATTGGTTCGATATAAAGTATCTATAGTAAAAATAGCATTAGTTGAATTTTAGTGAATATTCCCGTAATAAATTAAGTAATCACATTACGGATTTGAAAAAACAACGTAAGATTTTTTGCGTATTGACTATATTGCTGACCGTATAAACAAAACGAGGTCTTTTAGTTATTCAAGTGAGTTCAACCCAAAAATTCGGTAATTTCAGCGGGATCTGAATTTAATCAGAGTCCGGTTTCAATAAATCGTTTTCTAAACGGAACAAAAACTTGACCCGCATATCGGATCATCAATCAGCTGACTAGACGGCTTGAAGTACATAGTACGGGTAGTATGTGACTGCGAATATAATATGGGAGGAATATAAAGGCTTAAATCGCATGTTTTTGACATGGTACCTACATGTCAATGGCAACATAATTCTGTTGTATTCTGTGTATTTTTTTATATCTGCATTTTTTTCTGTAACTAGATTGGCATACAATCGTAAATCATGTACCAATTCATGGTATGACGATGTCATTAATATATTTTATCCATTAACTGACAGGTGTTATAGAGGTGCCCATGCAATGATTTTTGTTAGTAAAGAAAAAAGGTGGTAGAGAGGTACTACAATATATTTATCATTATGAATATCTTCCCATCCTTCAGATTTATAATATAAAAATGTACCTGCAATTCTCTTCCTTCACAGCAAGGTATAAGCTGTGGTGATTCTTCCTTCAGTTTATGTGTGGAATTAGGGTTCGTGACGTTGTCTCCGCTGGCTACAGGATTCATCAGCCGTAGTGATACACTAGAGGATCTCTTCTCCTTCACGTCGAAATTGTCTGACAATGCATCTTTAATTGGGCTGGTATTCATAGTCAAGTCTTTCAGGATCACCGGCAGAATATTGTGTTCATGTAAGAGCTGCATTGCGGATTTGTATAATAGTATGATTAACTGTTATGGTGTGAAGATTATGATTTTGTTTATGTGCCTACATTCTTGGAAATTTTGACAATCATGTGACATTTCTGTTTTTGAATGCCCTAAGGTTTTTGAATTTACATAATATAGTTTTTAATGTTTTTAACGAATAAACTTCACATTATTTGGGTATACAAATTTAAATACATAAATAGATATAGCATATTTATTTACCTATTTCAGAATTTATTTATTTAATAGAATGAGAATCATATACTTAATAGCAATACTGAAAAATGACTTGTACAGAGGATTTTGTTGAAGTCGTCCCCATAGACTAGAACTACGTGTATTTATAATATTAGAATATGTGTTAAAACGCCATTTTTTATTATTGGAATAAGCAACAAACAAACTGATCGCCCACCTTATGATAAGTGAAAACCGTCGATTATATATATGAACAACACACCGAACATTACCACGTTACCATGTGACGCTCGTGTTACCACCATTCATGCGCTGCTATTCCGAATCACTATAATGTCTCTTAAAATCCTGTAATTTCACTGCCTCTCTGATCTTACTCTACAATTATTATATATTAAATAAATAAACGGCAAACAGCACATACGGAAATTTACGATTAGAAAAATTTTGAAATATTCATTCGAATTCGAACCGTTATTAATGCCATAAAAACATAAAGACGAATAATAAACAGAGAGTGAAGTTTGCCAATTTTGTGCTAATAATTTTGGATGCCTTTAATCCGTATCAGATGAAACAACCAAGTGTAGTGTATCGAACGCCGATCACGTAGTAGCACTCCAGCAAAATTATACCCTTCAACGAAAAGTAAGGGTCGACTGCCCAAAATTAAGCACCTCGCCGCTTTTTGTTATCGTTCTATATTTTAGGTTAGTTTGAGGCTTTTATATTGTAGAAGTTAGAGAAAAGCGGTATATGCTAGGTTTGCTAGTCCAACATACACCGAATGATCCAGAGTACGAATTCAGAAGACATAAAATATATGTAAATTTATATTGCTGGCGGGCTCTCTGGTACAGTTTAAGAAAAATAGACATTTCCGGTAAATCATGTTTATTTATAACCGATTACCGATCAAACAAAGACTTAAGAAATTGTAATTGAAAAATTGAATATATTTTTCTGTATAACAATTTATCACGATTCCGCATAATTGAAGTTTCTAGACGAAATGAAATTTTTCATTAACGTTTATAATGGATATTCATTATTGTGCGTCGTCTTCTAAATGTGCATTATTGTTCGTTACTTGTCCAGGCACGTAGAAGTCTTTTATTTCGATGTCCGAACCAGATGATACAGGGCTTTTCTGTAATAATATAAAGAAAGTGAATACTTCAATAGTGAAATTATACTTGTAAATACGAAGGTGTCTGTATACCTATATGTTTATTACCATCTAAGAGCAGTACTAGATTTTACATGAGGGTACCTTGTATCACCTATAGGCTTTTATCTAAAAAAACAGTCAAAGTCTTATAACGAAGTATAAGCACAATGACCCTTAAATTGTATTTTCAGCAAGTTCAGTTCAATTTATACATATGAGAGGAAAGTTTTACCATCAACTTCTATATAGGATTTCGTAAAGCAGTGAAGTTAGTATTTTGTTTTGAACACTTGCTGTTTGTCTAAAATTATGTAGAGGAAAGGTTCTTGTGTCTGTAATGATAAACTCAAAAATATTTTATCAATTTTAATAGGTAATTCTTGCACATTGTTTAAGTTTCCATTGTGAGTGAGTAACATATGCTATATTTTGTGGGAGCAATGCCGCCGATCAAGGAAACAGCTAGTTTCATGTATAATAGTAATAGTAATAGGCTGTATATAAATTAACTTACACCCCTCTGTTTCTCGTGCTTCATCTCAATGAGCAGGGAGCGTAAGATGCGATGCGAGAGGTACTCGCTGGTGCGGCGGACATCTGCGCAGTCGCCGTGTACGCGGTTGTTGACCACCGCAGAGGAAAGACCTTCCACAGCCTCGCCCCATTCCACTAGTTATATGTAAGTAACGTTAACTCTATATATTTTCAAATCAAGTTTTTTTTTACACGATCATGGCAGATGAGCCCGTCTGTTGATATATGGTTACCGTAGCCTTTGGACGCCTGAAGTACCAGGAGTGTAACGCGTTGCCGACCCTTAAGAAACCTTAATGTCCCCTTCTTGGAAAACCCGACGCTGTAGTCTCTCGAGAAAACCTCGGCAGGTAGTTCATTCCACAATCTAATTGTACGCGAGAGGAAGCATTTCTGAAACCGGTCTGTACTGACCGTTTAGGTTCCAGCATGTAGGGATGATTGTCTTGTCGATGGTGCGAAGGTTCCTTACAAGAAGCGGAAAAAAGAATGTATTCGGTGCCAAAAAGCTTCATTGTTTTTAGATCAAATAACAGAGACGTCTGGCTTTTAGTATTAATTTGACGTTATTTATTAAGTTGATACATTTTGGTGAGTATATGTTATAGTTACAATATTTATAAAGTCATTTTAGGCAAAAAAATATCAATTTAATTGATATTTTATATAATCTATTAGATGAATTTGGTTTTCAACATAACTGTTTTTGGTGAAAGCATTTTTAAATGTTTAATAAAATATGCAATTGAACTTCAACACTAACTTGGATGTCTCATGTGTGGTAGTGTTACTTTGCCGATAGTTATATCCATGCCTTTCTGCACCTTCTGACTTACAGATCTCGATAGAAGTTTGGCGGCAGCGTTCACCATCTTTAACATACAAAAATTAAACTCTTTTTATTTAAATGGGATAAAATTAAATAAAAAAGCTTTAGTATTTATTTCATGTTGTAAAATATGACTAATTATTACATATTATCATTAAAATATCTTACGTACACTTAAGTCATTGTAAAAATTCGTCTTGTATTTTATACGGGCAGCATCATGGCATACATCTAGGTAAACATGTAATTATTTATTGTATGTAAGTTAGTATATGGTATTAAGGTTTGGTTTACTAACTTCAAGCAATCTTCTGCGTTCCGGCAGATAACTTCCAACCGACACAGGATCAGGTAGATCTTCAACTCGGTCTGAGAATGTCACCTCCGCCAACTTTGACTTCGACGGCTTTAACGTAATATATAATTAATTGAATTAGTATTCTGATGCATTCGATACATTTTCAATACTTAGTGCTAGTAGTAGCTCATCGACATATATATGTGTAGGTATATTATATTTTATAAAGTATGTTTCACCACAGATAACATAATATTACATAGTTTCACTAAATGCAAATTAGATTATTTTTTACAACTTTGTCACTTGTTTCATGTACCTTAGAACTTGTTGCATTTTGAGCGAAGTTGTTTTGTCACAAATAGTATAATGTAATTGGTTTTCGGGTTGGTATAGTCTTTGTAACTGAAGTACTAGTCTACAAACCTGTTTATTATAGATCTTTTTAAATATAGCTATAAAATAATACAATAGTTTGTCATTTTGTACACATGTTAAATATGTAATGTACATCCCTATGGAAAAGTGCTGAAGAGCACAAATTGCACGCACCAAGGAATCAACGAAGCCTTAATTTACAATTTTTATATAGTAGTTGGAGAGTTTTCATTGGAATATTGTTAATTTCATGTTAAATCTGTAAAATGCTGACTGCTCTCTTGTGGAAACTATGGTTTACGTTACGACTTCGATAGTTTTTTAGTTATAGATAGTAACTTAAAATGTATTTTAAAGGTAAGTTAAAATACTTTTTATGTCTGCTGGATGTGATTTAAATCACATGTACACACATGAAATATATATATATATATGTGCAAATTACAAATACAAATACACAAGTTTTAATTTAATACATTCTCCAAATCAGAACCAGTTTTATTACGGTGGTTAACACTTCTGTTAATTATTGACATCATTTTTCTACCAAGATTTTTATTCTACAAGAATATACCTACATATACATTACCGTATATGTATATTCTTGTAGAATAAAATTATAATTAATCAATTTCACTAACAACTGGTGTTGGTGGTCGATCTCTAACACTCTTCATTTCCAAATCGGTAGTAGTCTCGGGTGGTATGTCCACTATTTCCCCAAAGAGTATGGACGCACCTCGTACGTTCACGTACTGTCGAGCGAGTTCTGTAGCAATCTGAACGGACCACCGTGGAGTTTTCTTTGCACTGAAGCAAATAGATTGAAATTGAACATTAAAGCTTACCTTCAACTTTGGCAGTAAATTTCGCCCAGGATTACCTACACAATGAAAAATGACGTCTACTTACTATGTTCATTATTGTTGTGATGATGTTACGATTAACGTAAACATGTCTACTTTATCGAATTAGGTATTAATATTTTACGTAAGTCCATTTCATTACTGTTGGATGTTGACTCATAGTCTGGTCGCTACAACATCAACACTCGGCTTCCAAACTCTATTCATTGCCTGATGATGTCTCGTTTAGAGGTGAAGCACTTATCGCAATACGGTTGGAGATACAATAACGATCTGAATTTGATCACTAATGGGAAAGGTTATGACGCTTCCAGCCTTGGTCAGGTTTCCGCACTGAATATTTGAGGCCTCACATATGCTAATTGTAGTGTAGTGTAATCCCATTAAGCAGTGTATCTATTTGTTTATGTGATCTATTACAGGTTTAAAAGTATACGCTGTAAGGCGGAGATAAGGTGACCCTTGGCGGCTGAGCGCTTTAACGGCCCTTCGCATGAGCATCGCCTTGAGGATAAACGATTTGATTAATAATTGACATAGAAATTCTGCCAATTATTAATCAGATTAAGAAAATAACTATATTTTATTGAACATATCGGATCCCACATTTCCCCTTCTATTTTAAAATGTAACAGGAAATTATATTATAGATGACTTTGCCAGTCTATTATCAGAAATAAGTCTATAGATTGTACAAGTAACTAAATGACAAACAAGCTAACAGTCCATATGATGGTAAGTGGTAACCGTCGACTATATACATGAACAGCACTATGGATATCACGTGACGCCTGCGATATCTCCCACGCATTGCCATTTTGAAGGACTTATAGTGTATTACTTTTTCAATGTATTATCGTAATGTCTGCTCGGCGGTTAGACTGAGTTACTCTTGTAGACTACTTTTAACAGTCTTAAGTACTTGTATATTATGTTATATTGTGTAATGTTATATACTCAGGTATAACAAAGTCTGGTTTGAAAAGTTTCCGACTTCAACCCAAAGATGGCAGCACTCGTCAAAATAAAAATAAATTAACCGTGATTGAGGTTAGCACTTACCCTTTTTTAGATTTCTCTGGTCGGTAATTTAAGAAAAATACGTGTGCTGCTCTAGAGCGCACCACCCGTTCCACGTCACGGAGCAGCAAGTTGACGCGCCGCCGAGCAAATTCAATTACCGCATTTTCAAGCATCTGGAGGTAAGATTGAAGTCAAAGTCTCACAAAAACCAAATCCAATTAATCAACGATAAAGTTAGATCAGTGTACATTAAATATTAGGTTTACCTTTTATTTAATTAAAAATAGAGATTAGGTTCACTACCCTAAATTCCACTTAACCAATACTTTTTTGTATTAATTGACTATCTGGCGATGAAAATGCTGATATATTAATCCCAGAGAAACGGATACCTTGGATTCAAATATATGTATTTAGCGAAATGTGTGCATGTTAATTTAATATTTAGCATAAAGTAACTACAGAATCAAAATAAAAGTGAAAAATAAACGGAATAAGTCTGCAAAGCTAACAGTATATCTACTGATAATATTCTCATAAAGTTTTTAGTTTCTCAAATATAATAGACAATAACGATATAGTATTTTTTTATGTAATCTAATTCCAAATAATAGGATGGATGTGAGTTGCCATTCCAGAGTACTAAGATGTCATAGCCCTTATTTCAATATTTCAATCTAATTGCACTCTACAACTGCAATATGTGAGACCTACCTTACCTATCCACGTGTACCTACCCCATGCAGAGTTTTTTTTATAGTTTACATAATGTCTGCGACAAGAAAAATATATAATTTTCCCGTTGAGACGTTTTAATACCTCGACTTGATTATTATGTATATTTTTCGTTTTCAAAGTCAAATGGAACCAAAGAGGGACATGAATTATTTGGTTGAGTACCATTGCGAGAGTAATTTTAAACCCTGAATTTTAATAACTGAGTTAATTGAAATCACGAACTTAACTATATTCAGTAGGGCACGTTTTGAAATATAAATATTTATAGCTTTTAGATTTTGATGTTTAATTAGGTATTTGACTTATTACTCGGAAAGAAATTAGGGCAATGTTTTGACCTATGCGTTTTCATTATGTTGTAGAGCAGGGAGGAATAACATCTTCGTTATCCAGAATGGAATAACAAGGGTGTCACATGATGATTAATTGTTGGTCCTCACCTTCTTTCGGATGAGCTGTCAGTTTGTCATTTCAGGTACATAAAACTATTATATATGAATAAAAAAACAACATAAATTTTTCCCATTAAAGATGCATTGGCTAGTGTGTAATAACCGATGGATGTTTGTTATTCTTTCACGCTTCAACTACTGAAAGGATTTTAATGAAACTTTACAATAATATAACCTATTCTGATGAATAACACTATTTTCTAACGCTGTTTTCGGGTACAGCTAGTATTAAATAAAATCATTGATCACGCTGCGTCTTAGATTATATTAATACTGACTACATTATATAGGCATATACTAAATAGTTAATAAAAAAAATCCAATGTATATTTTTGAAAATACATACTTTACATCTAATTTCTTTGTATATTACAAAGAAATTAGATCAATTAGAATAGTCACACTTATGTTTTATATTGAGGAGAATTCAACTCGCCTACATCAGAAGGTGAGGCTAATAAACTAAACTATTAAACGTTTTACCGTAGTGGCCCCCTAGTCTTATTACATGCAGTAAATGTGACAATACAATCCAGATGTAGATAATAATGGGACTAATTAATCCAGATTTTCGTAGCTGGTATCAGCTTGTCCTTATCGAGACGCTTAACATAATTTAGATTTGTGTAACTATTTACTATTTTGTAATAGGTAATAATATAAATTATAAATAGACAGTAAGAAAACTCCGAAACCATTGCGCAAATTATCTCGTTATTTTCTATATTAAATAATAAATAATCTCAGGATCAGATCTCAATTCACACAGTGCCATCTAGACCCAAGTTAAGCTTCCTAAAGCTTGTGTTATGGGTACTAGACAACTGATACAAATACATAGATATGTTTTTTTTTCATAAATACATACATACTATACATAGAAAATACCCAGACCGATACAAACAACCATAAAACCATAAATATTGCACTAGATAAACACATAAAGTTATATGTCTTATGCCGAAGAGTAATGAAATAAAATTAATCATTTATATTCAATTCAACATCTCTGTGTTTCTAATGTTGGTTAGATTTTCTTTTTAAACTGTATTAAGAAAATATGTTTTGTAAAACCAAAGTAACAAATAATATATTACCTACTTAAATTTATATTATACGAGAATAATAAAGATTTTTTTATAGAACGTTCTGATGATTGCATAAATAAAAAAATGCATGTGTACGTATTGGTTTGTCGGATTATATAATATACTTAAAAAACAATTTAAGACTGTCATTATTGTTGATAAGTGGAATTTTCCTTTATATTTCTTTATTGTTCTTTAAACATAGATTTATGTGTAACATAGAAAGATGTTTCTTAAACACGAATCACTGGCGAACAAGTTATTTACTAAAGGTAAAAACATTAAGTGTCAGCTGTTACTCATGTCTGTAAAGCAAGAACCCACATAAATTATAATACAAACGCTACACCAAAATGTTAAGAAAATGTAATATTTTTACGCAAGTTTTCTTTTAAAATTTGAAGATATATTTATTATAAGAAATTTTCAATTGGATCTTAAGTGAATATATTTTTTTTAATTATTTTTCATAATATAGCTTGATTTTAGATTTAACTAATTAGTTTTATAGAATATAGTCATTACAAATAAAAAAAAATAGTTCATAATAAGAAAAACTTTTCTTATTAATTTATTTGATATAATGTCCAATTTACTTAATTATCTAATAAAAATATAACTCTTATAAACTTATAATCTATGGTTTTATGACAAAAAAGCATGGTAGTTTCACACCAGTTTGAAATAGTGGTCTCGGCTGCATTGATTGGCAATGCACATGTAACAGCCCTAGTATTTCAAGCGTCCATAGCTATCTATTTACCATCAGTTGAACAGTATGCTTGTTTGCCAACGTTGTAGTATACATAAAACCTATTCCCCATTACTGACAATACCTTTCCCCTGTACTTCCTAATATTTTTTTTCTTTACCTCCTAATAATTAGTATCTGCACTAACCTCATCAAGAAGTTTAATTGGTGGAGACGGCAATACAGTTTCCATGTCCATCCTCGCCCGAGCTTGTCCTAAGGTCATAAGTGGGTCTCCAAGAGTCGAGACAGCAGCAGACATAGCTTCAGCAGCTAACTGTTGTGCTAATTCTGAACTCATGCTCTTGGCGCCACGTTTTGACTAGAATAATTTATATAGAATAGAATACTATATTTGTAATGATAATCAATCGCGAGACATTTTAATTTTAAATAAGTGTTAATTCTTAATAATTATTCTGGACAATTCACATATCGATTACAATTATTTACAAATTACAATTCACATATTGGGACTACCCAAGCAAGACCTTGTGTTATGAGTACTAGACTCTTATAACTGATATAAATATGTACACAGATACATTATTTTTTGTAAATATATAATTGATACATAGAAAATACTCAGACCGATACAAACAATCATACTCATGGTTACAAGTGTTTAACCGTGCGAGGAACGCACCTGATATCATCAGTACTAAGGCGGTGTGCTCGACCACCGAGGTTGTAATCTTAGCTTTAGAAATGGATTTTAACAGAAGTAGGTGCAGGATATTACCACAGCACAATTAGTCTCATCGAGGCAGTAATGTACGAAGTTGTTTACTTCAGTACCTGTGTCACATATTTCAGACGCCAAGCAGCTTGCTTTGTAAGCTGCGTTTCAGTAGTAGCGTGAGATAAGGGTTCATGTATATTGGCAACGGTTAACACTTACCAACAGGTGGGCCATGAGCTTGTTTGCCATTCCAATTACATAAATAAAAAAATACTTTACAATGTAATATATAGGTTATGTAATTAAATAAGATTAAAGTCTAATGCAAGTATATAAGAATGTAGCATCAGCATCCTCACATACGGCTTTCATGTCAGTTTTTTATCGAAAAAAAGTAAAATATAAATATTATAAGTGGGTTAATGTGAATAAATATACTTTAAATATTTATTTTCAATATTGGTAAAAGAAAATGATTATATTATAATAAAGGAAAGAAGGGAAAAATATTTCTTGTGTGATTAATCGTATTTTGGAAATTCCTAACAAGTGGTAACATAATTTTAGTCTTTATATTTGTTATGATGAAGAAGTTCATAAACGACATTAAGTAGATACCTTTTCAAACTCGAGGCCCATCTTTTTGACGAGTTTGGCAGCCTTCGCGTGACCTCCGTGTATCAGTTTCCAATTCGCAAGCCTGATGCGTTGTAGTTCTAAGTCGTTATTATACGCGTATATTTCAGCTTTCCTGAAATGATTTATTTTTATAATATTACATAGATAATAAAAGACAATAGAAATCTTTGAACTTTAAAATTGAACTATGTCCACCAATAAAATTGAAAATAACTTTTGAATCTGTCCTACTAAATCGATCATATGACCTCAAAATTTGTATGAAGATTTTGAGAATAATTACCAATTTTCTATTCGGCTCTTTTAATTCTTTATTTTTATGATTACTACGGTTCTCCATATCCTTTACAACTATTCTAATACCTGTACGCTGTATAAAAAAACTCCCGAGTGAACATGAATTAGATTTTTGTGATATTGTATTCTATTGTGTAGTTTATTACATTAATACTGAGAACATAAATTATATCTAACCTGGAATATTATGAACTTGAGCACGCAAAATCTCACGTATTTATTTCAGAATAAAGTTAGATCATACTTGATTTCATAAATATTTTAGAATCATTCCAATGCATCGATCAGAAAATATCACAGTTAGAATATGCAGATTATATATAATATTCGTTGGTATTTGGTGCATTGCCGTCGCAGAATATTGTAATATTAGAGGAATGTACTTTCAACCATATTTCTCTGAATAATAGGCTAGTCCCTAGTAGATGGCACTACTGCAAGTATAGTGTACTATAATTTACTACATACTACACTATTACTACACTTAGTTAAGTTGCAGTCTTATAGCAATGGATTGAACGGTATGTCAGTTTTTTTAGATAGATAGAAGTTGGTAAAATTAATTCTATTTTATTATTTCATTGAATTAGTGCTAATCGGTGGTTTGTATTCACACACTTAAACTTAAATTGTAAGTAAGAATAAATTATTTAAAAGAGCAACACACAAGTTTCTTGCTTGTTCTTCTTGTGATGAGACAGCATTCCGAATGAGCGGTAGATTAAAAAAAAATGTTATGACTATTCAAAAGTGCTTCAATGTAAGTTTATTTGAATAAATGATTTCTATTCTATTCAGATCGACGTTCTGAGCATTTAATCCCGTTGTTTAATAACCTAGAGCTACTAAATTACAACTTATTTTGGATAAAGTTTTACTTTGCTCGTCGTGTAGCGCCTGCGGTCATGTCTTCTGTATACAACTTGAGAAGTAGCGCTTCTTCTTGTATCTTCTGATTCTGCGCTGTGACGCGCGCCGTCCATTTGTTATTTGCCTATATTGACAGAAAGTATCGAGGTAGGTTTGTACAAGATCGTCTGCGATATGGCAGTGCAAACATAAGATACAAAGCCATGCCTTCTTAGAAATCTTGAATATTAATAAATAAGTATTATGCGGTTAGATTTTCTGTATTTCCAATAACATAAAAAAAGTATAATTAGGTAGTTCTTGGTGTATATAATTTATCCTGCAACTACTATTAGCCTGCGACTTCGTCCGCATGTGTGATGGATCGGAATTAATAATAGACTTCTTATTGTGTACGGAGAAGAAACATAGTAAGAAAAAACAGTTAAAGTAGTCAGACCTTCTCCACCCTACACAAAGGAAAAAGAAAATAGTAAATAAGTTTATATTATTGATATACAATCATTAATACAGAGATATGAAAAAAGTATATAACTAGTATAAGGTAATAGTAAAATTCTATATAATAATGTTATAAAAAGAAAAACAAATAAAAAACCCTAGAATAAGTCTATAGTCCCTATAATAAGTTGATAGTTTTAGTTCAAGTATTTAATTGTAGATGTCAGTGTGTAATAATAAATGTAAAAAGCTTGCAAATTAATATCCGGGGACACGTATACCCGGGTCACCTACCCAACTAAACTTTACTTTAATTTAGTCGACCTTACTTAATGCTACATGCCAATAAATCATCATTAAGACGTTAAATCTTGAAAACGTAGTAAACAAACACACTTTCTTTAGCATTTTTAATATTAGTTGGAATATCGTACGTAGGAGATACAAGTACCAATTATAACTGCGGGAGGTTTGTGTGGTTTTATTTACTGCTAAATAAGGCTGTGGCAATATATAGCATCGTAAGCTTTTATCAGCTAGTATTCACACGCAAGTCTTATATACATATATATACTGGTGTGATCTATTAGCAAATCTTTATTTTAAGAATTGTATTAATATATACATAAAAATGTTCTCAATTTTATGAAAATTATGCACACGGAGCAGTGTAAAATTTGCTACAGTTAATGTTTGTATGGTGAACAGTGAAGTCAGGTATTTTTTTTTTAATGTATAAATATCACAATAATTAAAAAAAAGACATTACACGCACTATCATGAGTTTGCCACATATACACAGACATTTAATATTTACTACTAGAACATTAATATTGAAGAGACACTTAGATTCGATACTTCGTAGTATCACTTCTTAAAAGAAATAAATACGTACTGTCTGGATTTTAGTAAACCAATCGCTTAATAGCGAATCCGTAAATTTAAGTAATCAATGGAAGTGAAGCCGCGTCTAAAAGCTAGTATCGTAATAAATACAAAAATGTATAATATATATTGTGTATATAACTGAAAACGGTTCGTTCTCTAAAAAGTATACTTATATGAAAAGGATCTCATTCGAAAAATACATACAATGAGTGAAATGTATGACAGAGCACGTAATGTATTGATGAATAGGGACCCGCGGTATAGCGTGAGAGAAGGCTGCTGCCATCTATTATCATGTAAATTGGCACAATATTATTTACGCCTAACATAAAACCGTACACATTATATTTTGAACACGTAGATGTCTAAATAATAAGTGATAATAATAAATTTATATCTACACGTGCCAATAGAATATTCCCAAATGCCTCTCATCTAAATAGAATATCCATGTTCTTATAATAATGATGACCATAATTGTGAAACCTGTAATTTAAATTATCTATATGCCAATATTATAACAGATACAATTAATCTGAATAAAAAATATTACTATTATTGTATATATACATAATAAATAACAATAATACATACAGCGTTTAGTAGAGCTTGTGTAATGGATACTAGACAACAAAAGAAATGTATTTATGTCACATTTTTAAGTAGATATTTATTTAAAATTTTACTGAATTTTTTTAAAAACTATTAATTTTTTTCTAAATTCAAAACACATTGCTCTGGGTAAGTTAGATCAAAAACGGCGCGTGGCGAGGTTTCTGGTCGTTTCTAGAAATATTTTTTTAAAAATTATTTCTAATACTACATATAATTAAACACATTGCTTGTTTAGTTCCTAAATCGGGGTAGTAAACACTAGCGATTTACTATCTCAACTTAGATAAATGCACACACTACACACACTCTCATCTCTTTAGAAATTCGTTAAAAAGAGCTTACCTCTTCCTCTAATCGTTTTTGTTTTGCTTCTCTCTCGTGCTTTAGCCTGCTCAATCTTTTTCTCTCGTTCGTTCTCCACTGCCGGACCATGGTGATTTTCCTTCGTAGTTCCATCTCGGCTGCTGCTTGCACTCTTTGCTTAATTCTATTCTGTTTCTCGTGAGCACGTGAAGCCCTTTCTTTGCGTTGTTTTTCGTTGAACTCTGCTAAATACTGCATTCTAGCCTGAATCTTCTTTTCTTGTTCCCTGGCACTATATAATTTATCATTTTTAAACTTTTTTCACGTGTTTATCATTTTATATAATGTGCAATTATATACAACTATATAAACTCTGTTATAAACATTCTGGTTACGAGTTGCTGCATCAAAATATAGTATTTTATAAAAAAGATAATCACAGTAAAAATTTCGGTATAGAAATATAATACTTAATTTTACAAATTAATTATTGAAATACAGCTGACATTTATATTTATTATTTGGCAATATACCTCACTGAGAAAAATTTAAAAACTATAAACTATGTGATATCTTTAATAGATATATAGATAAGATTATTGTCTAATGATATTTTCTAATCTCTACTATCATGTGAGTTTCGGCATTGCAGTATATAAAAATATATAAAAAAAACAATTACAAATTGTTTTTTAACTCTTATTTACTTTTAAGAATATAATTACTTATGTAGTTAACGTTGCCGAAAGTCCTATAAAACAATTATATTTTTATCTTCTACTTATTACGGCTTTTTGAAGTTTTACTGTATTAATTATTTACAGGAACTGTCATTAAAACTGAAATCTTCAAAGTAAAACCTTTACCTAATACATGTTAAACTTAAAAGAACTGCTTTAGGGCTGCTAGTAATGGCGATTATTATAATTTAGTTAAAATAAATTATAATAATAATTCAGTAATGTTTCTTTGACAAGGTCATTAATATTGATCATATAATAGTTTTTAAGAAGCTTTGCGTTCCATAATTTCAATAGCTATCAACGTTTTGATAGCAATTGAAATTATGGAATGCATTAAATAAGATTAACCCATGTTTCCCATAATTCGTGGAAAACCTTCACTCTTTATTGTATTTATATACTAAATTCTGCAGCTAAATTAATATTAATATTTAGTATTTGATTTATACACTTATCTTAGCAATTTATAATGTAAGGCGTAATGTAAAGGACTTATAATCCATTTATTAGTCTTTTGAAGCCTTTATTTTTAGAACCACCCCTAGCTTGTTATATTCAGTACAGGATTTGTATGTGAACCTACACGGAGACTCGCCGAGAGGTTCTTTTAATTAAGACGCCTTGCGGGACCTTTGATATACGTGAAATCTTTTGCCACATGAAAATTCTGCGCACGGTTTCTTTTCGTATAATACGATAGAGGTTAAGTTGTACTACTTACATATGCCATTATATTTTATTAAATAATAATTATAACCCAGGATAATTTAATCTGCGTAACAACAGCGCCATCTAGTGCCATGCTAAGTAGCTATCAGTTTTTTAGTTCTCAAATTACAAGCTATATATTAGAGTACTAAATAACTATATATCACGATATAAATACTTTTTTTTTAATAGAGTACCTAGTAAAAAGTTAATAGGCTCTATCTTTTATTAGGTTATAAATATTATACTGCCAACTGAAAAAACCAAAAAAAACTGAATTTTTTTTTTATACATACATGAATACATGTAAAAAACCCAGATCAGATACAAATGTAATCTTGCGGAAATTGAACCTGTGATCATTGCAAGTAAGGCGGTGTGTTTAATGACAATATCACCGAGGCCTTTTAAATCCACATATATTCATATTCGATTATAAACGGAAAAAGTAACAGTTGGCATGTTATAAAATAATATTTGGATGTTACAGAAATTGAAACTATATTATGTATGCAAATATCGGAGAGTCAAATAAGGAAAATGTACGTACGCCATATGTGCCAAAATCAAATGGTGGAAACCGACTTGCGAGTTAAATATTTTCTACTTATGACGATTTATAATAATTTCCAGATGTAATGTTATAAAATGGAGTTATTACTAAATGGATATATACGATATTGTACTTCGTGTATGGTAAAGTTCATAATAATAATCTTAGGACAATTCACACAGCGCCATCTAGACACAAGCGAATAAATGACTTACTTACTTACTTACAAGTTAAGCTAGCTAAAGCTTGTGTTATGGGAACTATAGATAACTGATACAAATACATAGATATTTTTTTCGTAAGACCGATACAAACAATCATACGCATGAATACAAATGTTTGTGCCGTGCGAGGAATCGAACCCAAGACCATCAGAAGTAAGGCAGTGTGCTAAATCGACGCCGTAAAATGACAACTTACACCTATTGGATCTTATGACTTCTATACTTTTATTTGAAAGAAATACCTAGAGAAAAATAAAATAAAACTTATGGTAGTTTAGCGCATTTCTTTCGTATTACTTTAAAAAGGAAAACGCGTTCTTGATAGCTTTGTTTGGGATGCGTGGGTTAGGTTTCAGGGACTACTTATTGAAAATAAAATGTAAGGTTATGGTTTTCAATTTTATGTATATATTTCTCTCTTATTTCTTAGTTATATCAACAGAAATTAAGAATATAAAATATGTGAGAAATAAAGAATTATTATTATTATATAACCCACACGACGGCAGTGCAATCAGCTTATTTTACTATTCAATTATACTATGTCTTGGATGTCATCTTTAAAGATCTCGTACTGTAACATGTACCCTTGCTAACAAATCTCTGTACATCGTCTTCTTGGTCTGTCTCTAGATTTTCGAGCGGGGATGGTAAGTTGTAGTGCTAAATTCCCTACGTATTCAGTCGGTTTTCTGTTTACGTGCTCTTAGCATTACAACATATTTATGTACTATATGTTGTATAGGTTAGTACATAAGTCGGCTATACGCAGATTTTATCAACCCTGGTAACACATTCTTTAGGAATCATCTTCCTTCATCTCCATATATATGGTTATAGACCTTTTAACAGTAGTATACCTATATACCTGTTTATATAGTCATCAACTAATTTTCATCATACTTTTCCTGTCCAATGTAGAAAGTTTTAGTTCTACGTCTAATATTGTATACAAGTTTCTATTCTCGGTATCTCTTGAATAACTTTAAACAACTTTAAATTCTGTGCGATGTTTACGCAATTAAAATTCGAACTAATGGTGCTCTGCATAGTGTAAGGCGTTCTATGGAATGAAGGAGTCGCTATGAATGGCGAAACTAAATGGGTTATGCAAATGCACCAGCTAGGTTAGCAAGTTAGACTGGAGCGCGTGACAGTTGCATCATTACAGTATCTATGAATAAAATTAATAATTTAAAAATAAATAGATATTCGACACGCCACGTTACTGATGTCGTTTTAATATAATGTATCGTATCTTATTCATCACAGAAATCCTATCGATATTTTCCAATGCCATCCATTAAAGCCATCGTTCGCGATCTGCAGCCAGAAAGATAGCTGAAAATACTGGAGGTGACACAATTTGGTCTCTTTTTTACGACGTTTGAGTCTATAATTAGCTATGTGTAGTGTCGACTATTTTGTTCGAAATACAGAATATCATTAAAACGGTCTAGTTTCCATTACGATTATTTGTTGTTACGTTTATTTTACGTAATCGTTAATTATATAATATATTGTTTTGTCTTTTCACATGAAAGACTAAACACTTAAATGAATATATAGCCCAAACATTTATTCGTGTAATATATTTTAGCTACAAAGTAGAGCAGTTTTACAGGTTATAGGTTATTCTTTAATCCTACTATCTAGTTCAACTGTTTTAGCTGAGATGGAATTTCAGGAAATTCTACGCTAATTAATTTTCAAGACAATTTGTTAACATTATTTATTTTTAAGATTAGCTATAGGATTCTGACATAACCTTTCAATAAACAAAATTACGTACCAAATTTTTTTTTTCGTACGAGTAAATAAAGTTTATTGTTCATATTAATAGAAAATCGTAGTGACAAAATTATCAGGTATCCTCAAAAACAAATTCCCAACATTTGATTGGATAACTTCGTAACTTGTTTTGTTAAGTTGGAAGCAGTTTGATCCCTTTAGAAATGTTCAGTATGTTTAATACCGTTTAATGAACTTTTGAATGTGTGAACAAGTAAGGCTTTCATATGAAGGAAAGGGTTATTTTCTGGTGCAATATCTCAAAGCAAGGTGAAACATCTTAGTTTTCTCTTCTCATGCGTGAACTGCAATGAAGAATGTCAATAGGTATGCCAAATCGGTTGAAAGTTTTGTATAATAAAGCTTGTATATATACAAATATATTAGTTTTTGTTTTAGTCAAAAATACCTATTAGTTTCGATTTTATAGGCATTTAAATATACGATAAATTTCGAGTCCCGCTAACAGTCACGTGACATGTGACGTCATTTTACAACGGTCCGCTCCGCTTAGTAACGAGTCGCCGAGTTTGTGTAGTATTTTGTTTTATTTTCATAATGAAATGGATAAAGGCATCGAAAAAGGGCAATCGGATGATCTGCCTAAAATAGATGCACACTAATGGTTGCCCATTATTTATCAACAAATACCTAGTGATTTCGTTACCGCCGAAATGCGAGGAATAAAAAAGTAAGTTAACTTTTCTTACTATTTAGGAAATTATTTATCTGTTTTAAAGTGTTTTGTTAAAAAAAATACCCAACTGATATCGTATTGCAAGTATTGTAACTCAAATAGGCAGAAGTACTAAACCTTTTAAATTTTACGTTATAGAGAACAAATGTGTGTTAGAGTTTTATGTCTATAGGTACGTATGTACATATGTGAATATAGGCACCGCTTTTAGTAAATTTAACTAAACACATATATTGATTTATTGCAAATGTAGGTTGAACAGATGTACTAAACCTTTTTTAATTTTTATTTGTCTTATTAATAGGCAGTTTTATTTTTATTTGTAACTTATTCCAGATGCCGATCTGCCGTCTCTTGCCGAAGAGACGGCTTTGGTGATGATGCTATCGGTTACATACAAGTAAAAAGAGCAAGTGATGTTTGTACGGTTAAATGCAGAATCACGCGCGAACACCGCGTCCCTACAACACATTATCGTTGCAGTTTAGATTGTAATGAAAAGGACTACGAAGTTTTAAATGTAACTTGCGAAGATTGTGCCGCAAACAGAGGCTGTAAACGTACTATAGCATTTTTAATGTGGCTACATCGTCGAAGAGAGGACGCAACGACTATTATCAAATTTGTTGGATTTTTTGTGGTTATAATAAAAATAACTATTACTTTGGTGGTTGTATTTGTACGTTTCGGCACAACACATGATTTCCTAGTATTTGGTTTGGTTATTTTTGAGGGTATTTATAATTTCTAGTGAAACGTAAGGCGACTCCGTGCTGAGAGCGCGAGCGGACTGAGCGAGTGTTGTACTATGACGTCACACCGTCACACGAGTCCGCATCGCACGTTTACTTCTATAAATCAGAAACTAATTGACGTATTGAAGTAATTCTTTCACTTATATTTTTTATTTTGGCCAGAGAATATGGAGAGCTGATATTCAAAATTAGTTAACATTCTTCATTGAGCGTGTTCTGGAATTCGCATGCTCCTGTTTATGGATGATCATAACATAATCATGACGGTTTTCTACACAATAAGCTGTAAGAAAATACCTATATAACCCAAAGAATTTGCACCACTGCTGTTTTGCTCTAAGTTTTTAAATTTAAAAGAGGCTGAGAGCATACTTTCTATCTACTGCTGGATTAAGATACTTAATCGATGTTTTTGTATTACCAGAGACTAAGAGCAAGAAATTACATAAAATGACAATAAGATTTGCTGTCGACTAGAGTCCAAATGATTTTAACGCCTAAATCAGGGTAGTAATAGATGGAATGAAACATTAACTATTATGTTTGTTGAAGAAAAATGAAAGATAATTTCCTCTGGGAGAGGAAACATACAATAACAATAAGCCGTTTAATACATACTTTATTTTTATTTCTTTTAACTGGCAATTACGCTGGTGTACCTGAGCCTGAGCAGTAAATGTTAATAGTAAATTACGAATGGTTTGCGTAGCAACAGGGAGTGAAGGCGTCGCGTTAGAAATAATGAAAACAAAGTGTCCCCATTAATCAGTTCGTTCTCAACTCACGTACTCCTAAAGCCTGTTTCTCTTGGCCTTATTCCGACTGGGTAGTTATAAAATCCTTATGAATTAGGGCAATAAGAGATGGCTTAGCTCATGTTACAGAATTTGCATACGGTATGCCATATCAATGTAACTCGCAAATTCTAAAATCATCATGTAACAAGTCACAAGATCTATAAGGAACGGATTATGATGTATGGCAATAAAATAAGGCAGCTTAGTTTTCAGGCAGGGATGTCAGCGCATAACATATCTGAATCATAGACGTTACAGTGAATTTTGTTATTTCGTTGAGTGAGTTTCAGTGAGTTTATTATTAATAATAGAAATATTAGTTCCCATTTCTAACAATGTATAGCTCAGTGAATAATTTATATAATGTTGCGAAATGAATTTGCTTCCACCAATTTTTATAAACATCTTAGCAATAGCTACTATACTTTAAATACCTGACTCTAAAGAGGATTAACTGAAAGGTCCACACTTTTGTTATATAAGATTAATTGTACCGTCGGCATGAATAGAAAAGGTATCTGCATTTGTCGGATCATAGGGATAAGGAAATTTATTTAGCAGAACACAAAGTATTCTAAAAACTGACCTCCGATATAATATATTACGTGTGTGGTAAAAACCTAGTCAGCATTACCTTGCAATTAACTGATACGTGTTTATGTGTTATAAATATACATTATATATTTCTACCTACCTCTTCCATTAACTGATGTCTGCTATATGATGTTTAGCATTAGCTGCTACTTGCGAATTCTTCTGCTTTTTAACAAATTTCGTCTTTGTGACATGACTAGTATGTAAAATTTCAATAAGACTCAAGCAGTGGTTTAAACTTGAAAGATACACTTTCGCATATATAATACTAGAATGGATAGTAGTAAGTAGCCTTGTTTAAATCAATACGAGAAGGATTAGCTAATAAATTATCAACTTTCTTAAAAATTACAAAAAGTAACGTTACTACTAATCCATATGAGTTCCATTAGGATGAAATTTTTGAGACTATATCATACATTAACATTAAATGACAAAAAATTTCTCTACAGCTGAGAATCGAACTTGGAATTAATGTGACCCACTTAGCTACATAATCACTTGACAACAAAGATCGTGGAGCCCATTTAATACCGATTGATTTATCCCTTGAGGCTATAAAGGACAGACATGGACTCATGGCTGAAGTCGATTAATACATATGTAACGTATCTGAAATTGCGCTCAAATATATACGGTTTTCAACTGAGATAAAACGCAGAAGGTTTCCAATACGATAGTGTTTTAGATGTATTTATGTCAATTCTAATTAAATTCTGTTGATACTTATTTAATGGCTCGACGTTTAAAGTTTAAATTTGTTTAACGTATAACCATAATAACATATTCAGTTTTTCACAGATAATTATATAACTTTAAATATATTATATCTAAAGAAGGTACTTCTAATCTAAGTGATTGAGTTCAAGTAATATGCCATAAAAATGGAAAGAATTTCATTTGGATAGTTTTTTTATATTTTACATGATTATCTTAGCTAAATTAGAGCCTGTCCTGATCGTGTTATTTTTTTTATTATTTCCACTCTGGTTTCGCACTTTTGTTTTATTTTATAGGCTCGAGATTATTTTTATTGAAAACGTATAACTCACAGTCTCCTTTTCTCTGCCCACTCATCAGCATGTTCTTGCGCCACCTTCTCAAGATGTTCTCTAGATTTCTCAGCTTTTGCGAATGTATGAAGCCTGCGAGCCACGTCCGCATCTACTCGCTTTAGGGTCAAGTCGTCTCTCGCTCGTTCATCCTTTCATGACATGGTTATTAATTATACACCTGAGGTAGACTGTAAAATGTCGTCTATTTGAGTACCCCAATTTCACCTATTTCATCTGTCAAGTTTGCTTTGTAAGTTGAGTTTCGGTTGTAGTGTGAGGCTAGGCAGTGAAATTACAGGATAAGGTGTCTTCCATACGGTCTCTTGGCCTCTGACCTAGCGACGCATAAGTGGTAGGTATCACAGGGGTCACAGGGGTAACATGACATGCTCTCAAATAATATATTAAATAGGACCAGTGCGACCGGTTTTTTTTATTAAAATTAATATTTTTTTTTATAAAATATTATTAAATTAAAACTTAGAAATAAAAATTAAACGTTATGTTAAATAATTACAAAAATCAGCGTGTATTTTATAAGTAGTTTCAGCTGCTCTTAGATGCAACGTGTATCCTAAATAAAGTGATATTAAATTTTCATTATTAAAAAAAAGATATGTAAATAATAATAACAATATTTATTAGTATTTAACATACCAAGCGCTTCATTTCCTGATGTATTCTATCCATAAACTGATTATATAAATATTTTCTGTACTGATTGAATTCCTTCAAAGAGCAAACAGCTCTACCATCTTTAGTGCAAAAGCCGAGGAATTTCATTCTATTTCTGGTTGTTTTCTGTGCGAAATGATGCGCGAGGTGTGGATCGTGCATGGGCACATAGTCATAGGATACGTTGTTGCAGTAAGGGTCGGTCAGGTCGAAGGTTGGCTGGGGGCCGCTACCGCCGAGACCGAGACGCCGCACCTAGTATAGATGAACAGATTAAATTAAACTCTACATATGTATGCACATTTCATAAAAAATAAAAATACATTAACTCTTAAAATAGAAATTTTGTAAAATAAACAACTATGTTTTTAACTATTACACGTTTATTCACAATTGTACATTTTGATTGGATTTACTATAATCGTAGAAATTGGGAGCTCATAAATTGACTACAAATTTATTATTATTTCAATGTTAATGCAGTTATAGAAACGTGTCATATACAAGTTGAAAAGTAAATACCTCTGAAGGAAAATGAAAATATAAAATAACAGTTTATAATATACGGTATCATTCTTTAAAATATCTTCTATAAATAACTGCATTAATAGTAATAATATTTTGAAAAACTTGCTAATGCTCGAAAGGGTCCAGGATCGGATAACTTTCCTATTACCCTAGAATAGTAAATTACAGATATTAAAAATATCTAATTTCTGATATTTTTAATATGTGTAATTTACTATAAGGGAAAATATGCTCTTATTTTTAAAATATATTAATAACTACATCATTTTTTGGAAACTTACATAAACTGAAAGTTGAAATAACAAAATCATAATGCATTGATAAACATTTGCTACTTTAATTATCTAAATTGATACATTCGATGTTATGGATAAATTCTCTCAAATAAACATTCGTATTATTTAAGGAAAACCTTATAATATTACATTCCTTAAATGGACAATGGAGATGTCCTTGCAGACGATGTTTTTTTAGCATTAGAGTTTGTATTGGCTTGAGTGCTTTTCGTATAATTGTGTATCTACAAAAACTAATTATGTAATTTAAGTGGGTATATCTATCAGTTGTTTATTACATACAGTACAATCGAGATTAAGTAAAGTCCTTAAGAATGACTCTTGTTCAATATTGTATGCACTTATATTAGTTATAAGTGAAATGTAAAACAAATACGTAGCAAGTCCGGAAGTTGATGAAATCCGGCGAAGTGGTGAGCGTAGTATTTAGTCTAATTTTGCGATGCTGAAGTTGTTCAAGGTTATTTCATTTTAAAATATTTCAATATTTTTCGCTAGTAACTATGCCTACTTTTCCTCCAAAATCAACTCTTTTTTCTCAAGCTGTATACTAAAAGTCAGGCAACTGACTATGCTCGGCTTATGAAGCTAATATCTTATTAGGCAATGATCTATATATTCACAATCATATCTTACATACAAATCTACACTAACGATATGTAAACAGAGTGCTCATTTTGTGGATCTATTTTAAACATTTCAGATGAATACATTATAGTAAACTATTCAACCTTATACAATAATAATATAAAATGTGAATTGTTAATATATTGCTTAATAGATTACAGCAATGTAGTAATATACAAAATTTTTATATACATGTTACTTACTACATTTTTAACGTTGACTGTACCTGTGAACATATCATTTTAGTAGGTATCTATAGTTAATCAGGATAATACAATGTAAACATCCGTCACACCATGTGTATTTACGTAATGCTAAATTTAAAGTAGGTATTAAGCATATTTCAAATATGACATACCTATCATTGTTCACATGCACATTAGTAATTATTATTTATTTTGTTTGTTATCGGTACATGAATGCGAGCACAGTAAGTAATAACTCATTAATATTTATTTTTACAGTTGACAGTAATAATAAATGTCATTTAGAACAAGAAGATGACTAAAATGGATGGTAAAATTATATCCATACATATACTGAATCATATTATGAACGCTTCCATAATTCGTCACATGCATGCAATTCGTCAAGTCATGAAACACGAAACAAGTAATTACAAAAAACAGCTTATTAGATGTATTTACATATTATTAATTGTATAAAAAATTAAATATAAAAAAACCATGGCTTTCTGTAAAATTATGCATTCAGTTCTAGACTTGAATCATATAACATGTAGTTTATAATTTCCCTCTGGAATAAAAATCTACTGTTATTAATATGGATCCGATAAATCGGGCTTCAAATAGCAAATAGGCGATGGTGACCACTTATCGTCACGTGGGCATTCATCTTATTTGTCATAATTACAAAAAATAAAGGTAAACAGGAAAGACGTAAAAGATAAAGGACTCAAACGAATTTCTCTCCATTTCCTAACGATGTTCACTATTATCCGACATTTATATAAACACTTATATTATTTAATATTTGTCAAATTTCAACGCGTTACAAAAAATAATATCACATTATATCAGATATTATTTTTTGTAACGAGTTGTAGTCTTAATCTAAATTATTAAACATTCGGTAAATCAATGCAAGGATGTCTATAAATTATAGGTATCCCGTCGGTTGCCGAGATAGTACCGATAAATTGAAACTATATACTATTTCTACATCCGTAGAGGAGTGCTGTATCATTAATAATAAATCGCGAACTGATCTTTCGAAACTATTAGTTAGAATATTAATTAAACGTACCATCATGAACGCTATCACCAGATGGGGTAGGCAGAGGCATTTCCAACTATCAATGTTATAGTGACCACAACACTTGATATGCCTGTTCTTATTCTTATTTTTATTTCTCTATCCACCTAAAGGTAGTCTGGAAGAGATTGCTTAGCGATAAGACCGCCTTTTGTATCAGTGTATATTTTCCATTTTAATTGTTCTTTTGTTTTTGTTCTGTAATTGGTGCAATAAAGAGTATAAATAAAATAAATAAATAAAATGCAACCAGTCTCAAAAAACAGGGGCGAGTCTATCGCCGTCTCTCAAATATTTTTTTTGATTTAAATATCAATGCTTCCTTTTCAACGGACAGTCAATCTATACATATAAAAAAATTGGACTGTCTGTTTGTAATATTGAAATAACCTTTTTTTACTACTTGCATATCAATCTATACATATAAATAAAATTGGAATGTCTGTTTGTAATATTGAAATAACCTATTTTTACTACTTGCATATGAATATATATGGTATATACGTCAAAATAAAAGTTTTTGTCTGTCTGTCTGTTTGTTCAGGCTAATCTTCGAAATAACGGCACCTATTTTCACGGGACTTTCTTTGGCAGGTAGCTGATGTATTAAGGAGTAACTTAGGTTACTTTTATTTTAGAAAAATTATTCTATTTTAGAAAAACAAAGTTAAATTATACGCGCATGACGTTGCGGGAATAGCTAGAATTCCGAATATAAATTAACATCTAATTTTTGTCTCGGTTAAATTTGAACCCACGACGAGTGTAAGAAAGAATAGTAAAGGTAGTACAAAATGATATAGTAATTAAAAATATAGTCATATTCATTATTAACCTGAAATTGATCTAAATACTTATTTATGTTCTAAATTGATACTATTTAGGCAACTTCCGTTGCTAAAAGCATTTTGTGTCGAACAGGTTTGTTGAAAGAGGCAGGAGGTGCCTAATAACATCTCCTAAGGGTCGACGGTTATCTGAGAAACCAAAGGAAGTTTGTTAAGTGATGCTAAAAGGTCGACCCGAGTTTAAATTGTGAAACATCCGGTGCCCTTATTGGCTGGTGGTGACTTAATTAATAATTATCAATGATAATAATACCGTTATATTATTTCTAAACTTGTGAATAAAATTAATTGAATGTAGTATCTGGACGACCATGCTTCGGATTCAGGATGCATAATTTGATAGCAGTATTCATAGAAAATAATAAAATACCTTAGTGGAGAAATTGGAAATTTTAAACAAAATTTTGAATAATTTACAAACCATGTAGTCACATGAAAAGTGTTTTGCATATTACGTCATCATGTGACGGCCATGATATAGCTCATGTGTTTCTAATCTGGAGGACTGTGATGTTATGCTTTTGTTTCCAGTAATTTCTCTATCCTATCTCACCAACATCAATAGAAGCCATTGAGGCACCGCTTGGTTATTGGCTGGCCAAACACACATTCCCACCACATATACATAGTCCGAATGATGAGTTAAAAGCTAAATGATACATTTGAGTACGATATTAGAGTACTTACTAAAGGCAATGTATCGATAAAAAAGGTCCATTGAACGTAATCACTGAGACGTCTTACAATTCGAAACATAATAGAAACGGTGTAGTACTGGTGAATGACTTCAAAGGTAGTGGTAATGAGCGCTGTAATCTATGAAATGAAAAATATGTTGGGGTCTTTTCAATTAGCCATTCAATGTAAAAACGATTGAGGAGAAAATTAGTCGTAGGTATAATTTTCAATAAATATTTATAAATGGCTCTTTGGTATTTGAAATACCTATTGCAAATTAAATTCTCCAGAAGGTGGGGAGACATGTTGTATTACAGTATCTCTATTCAGCGAAATGTCAATATCTGGGATTACAGTTTGGAATAATAATAGGCAAGCAGAAGATTAATTTCCTCCAGAGCATGTTGTGGAAATATGCAGATCATACATAAAAATCAATGAAAGCAATTAAAAAAACGAACAAAAGATATTTTCTCATAATTCAAATACGTAACTTTAATACCTAGTGGTTTTATTATTTATTCGATAGTAATACCATCTGTTTTGATTACCATTACGAAAAGGATAACATTATATACCGCCCTAAAACTGTTACTTACTGTTGAATTGTTACTTCTTATATATTGAAGGTGTTAAAGTCGGTGAGTACTTAATTCTTTGTCAACTTTATCCTAGCTTTCAGCTCCACGTAATAAATGTCTATGTAACAATATTTTATACCTTTTCTCGCCTTTTCTAGTTGAAAAACATCGTAAACTTATCGGCACGGCGACATGTGTAATTAATTGTACGACCCTCGACTAACAATGTTTTAGATATCTAGTTATAGTGAAGGAAACGGCCGAGGAGTAACTTTTTATTTCACATACCCAAATTAAGAACTCGTTCATGCAAAGTAGGATCTCACTTTGATTTGTTTATTTGTATATATGAGTCTCGATAAACCTGTACTTTATATAAATACATTAGTGATATCACACAACTAAGAAATAATGCAAAAACTATGAAAATAAATGTTTAAATGTATTGGTTTCTTTACTTTTGATCTACAGGGAAAAACACTCTATTCGAAAAATACGTAGGCGAGATTTGATTTCTTAGATCAATGTATAAGAACTAAAGGTAAAAATTTTACCTCTCTAACCTACGTAAGGTTACTTAACATTTGTGGTAAAAAATTACTGAAAATGTTACATCAAAATGTTAAATCAATTTTTAGATCACTTCTAATATTAAATTCGGACGTTATAATTTTCTAGATCGATTTTAAGTCTTGATACTAGTCTTCTATTATAATAAGTTTGTCAATTGTAATTCACTCTCTTATTAGAAGCGCTGTAAACTGTGTTTTACTAGTTGAATATTGTTGAAATTTCAGTTTAAAGATGAAGTAGTCTTTTAAAATTCTATAACTAAATATATGAGTTAGAATTTGAATGGACTTTGATGGGAATTTGAGATAAGTTTTCGGCTGATACTATTATACAAAATTTTAATTTTATGAATGAAAATCTCACTGATTGTTTTGTTTGTTTTATCTAACCACAATAATGTGGGTGCTAAGAGATTTATTATTGTTAAGTGTTCCACACACACACCATTCATCCCCGAGCGCATTAGCATAATGAACGCAGCCAGCACTCTTAAAAAGGATTTCAAGCATTTAGTACATTTTGCGAATATACTTGAGTATTTATCTTTGGATGTACAAAGCTGGAAATATTTTCTAATGTCTAAAGATTTTCTGGAAAGATTTCTTACATATAGACTATAGCGGAATAAGTAATCGCCTTTTAGAAAATTTGTAAAAGCTACGTTGAGAGATCGAAAGCTGAATTAAATTATCCGTGACAGACCAAAAGAAGTCGTTTACGCGCGTGGAGTAAACTAGACGTATTTAAGTGGCTACGTGAATATTGACCACGAGATTATAACGTTGTTTGGTTATACCAACTTTAAGAATCTCTATAGCTACCCAAAGTCAAAGAAACAGAGCCATAAATAGATGTTTTTAAAATAATAGACTGATCTATCTGTATTGAATAATTGAATTGGCATAAATTGATCAATGAGACCGAGTGTAGTGTTCTATTGAATGGGATATCTCGCTTAGAGAATCATATCTTAATTGGTTATGTATAATCTATACATGTAAATAAGATTGGAGTATCTGTTTGTAATATTGAAATAACCGTTTTTTAATACATGCATATGAATATAAATATGGTACATATAACAAAATAACATTTTTTACAATTTTGGTCTGTCTATCTGTCCGTTTGTTCCGGCTAATTTTTGAAATGGCTGGACCGATTTTGACGGGATTTTTTTGGCAGGTAGCTGATGTAATAAGGAGTAATTTAGGCTACTTTTATTTTAGAAAAATAAAGTTAATTTCTACGCGGACAAAGTCGCGGGAACTGGTAGTTTATTAATATAATTAGATGAATTAGTCATATTTAAGGGAACAGAAGAACTTTTTACTACTACCTATACCAAAATTATATATGGTCTTATAATGATTTTACTCGTAGATCTATTGTAAATAAAAGCAGATGCAGATTTTACTCAAGTTCAAAACTATATTTAGTTTCTATCACGAGTAGTTACTTAAATAAAGCGACCTATAAATTCAATATATTTGCTATTAATAATTTATAAGTATGTATACTCTGTCTAATATGGGTTGATCGTGAATAAAATTTTTATCTATCTATCTATCTATATTAATAACGGATCGGCAATGAATTGTTCATTACTAATCCGTTATTAATAGAAAAATTAAATGACACGTATTTAAAGCATGTTCTAGTACTAATCCCTTGCATGGAGCGATTACCAAAAGCAAATATTACCAAGGCGATAGACTGCTCAGGTGATGATCTCACTATCCGTACTGTCGGTAATTTAAAACAGAAAATATGAATATATAAGACACTAGTTGCGGACTGCCACTTGCCGTTTTAGTCATTGACTGGGATAAAAATCCTTTTCAAGGTATCTATAATTCTACGTAGGTACATTCTAAATCTATACACAAACTATAATTTTGTTTTTTTTGTTTGTTTATTAAAATAACCGTTTTTTACTACATTTATATCAATATAAATACATACATCAAAATACATTTATTACAATTTTTGTCAGTCTGTCTGTTTGTTCCGGCTAATCTCTGAAATAGCTGGACCGATTTTGACGAGACTTTTATTGGCAGGTAGCTGATGTAATAAGGAGTAACTTATGCTACTGTTATTTTAGAAAAATAAAGTAAATTCTACGCGAACGAAGTCGCGGGTGCAGTTAGTTTATAATAATTGTTTTAAACAAAAATGATCAGCTTCTTCTACAAATAATAGTAGTAATTGTAAATACGCGGGTATCTATATATATACTTACAAGTATTTAGTAATATTTAAAATATAACAAAAAAACAGAAATAAAAAAAAGCTAAATGTAATGATTCTCTAAGTAAAGTATATTTGTATAATAACGGTTTATATTGTTTTAAAACAAACATTACCTAATTCAAGTAGCTCGGTTGAAACACGAACAAATGTCATAAACAAGTTTATTAAACACGTTGGGAATAGGGGTTTTAATAATCGTCACACTCCTAAATAAAATCCTATTTTACGACGAATATAAGCGTACCATCTCAGGTAATGTTACAACGCGAGCCGTATAAAGGTTGATTTATTGCTTCTAGAGTCTTCATCAACTGGTATTTCAAAATAAACGTTTTGAATGATATTCAGTTTACAGTAGTTAAACTCAATAAAACTAATGATATGCCTTTGTAGCAAGCATAATAGAGATACAATAGAAAGATAGGTACATGCAATCAGAGCGTAGAATAAAATTCATAATATAGGTATATGAAAAGTTTGTAACTTTGTTCAAAATATGAACTAGAACGTTAGAAATAGAAATAGACATAATCTTAAGTTAATGTAAATACTTTTCTATAGTCATATTTTTATTCTACTACTTATTCGGCGATCATGACAAGTAAAAAAAGCATAAAACTTGCGGGTTGCTCTTTTAAATTAATGTATGTTATTTACCATACACATATTTAAGATATTGTATCATACACAGAAACTGCCAAATAGCACAATTGGTAAAATTTAAACATTTCGCAATTAACAGATGCATGCAAGCAAAGCCGGGTTTAACGACTAAGAACACATATATTTTAAACGCAATTACGCGACTGACTTCTTTATTTTAGTGGTTATCAGAAGCTATTATGTTTTTTATGTATATACGACATAAGACCTTTTTTACCGTTTGACATATGCAAAGTAATAATTAACGTAAAAAGTCTCCAAATAATTTAAGTACGTAATAGTTTTTTTACACAACAGTATATTAAAAATAATATTATTATATACAACGTATTCTAGTCAAGTGTATACATAAAATATTACTCGACAAACATAAAATGACAGATATGTTAGTAAGTGAAGTGCAATATTCAAATTTAAAAGTTAATTTATATGTCTCCAAGTTATATCGTATAATATAAAGAAACTATGTAAGTAACTTATACTTATTAATCTTTCAATAGTAATATAAATGTGTAGGTATATAATTATTACAAGTTGTATATAGTACTTACGTCTTCGCCAATTTTTCCTCTTGCGAATATAATTTTTCCAACGGGCATTCTGGGCACCGGCAGTTTGCATTCCAGGCCCAATTTATACCACAATGGTAGTCCATTTTTTGGAACCGCTCTCACCGGCTTGGGTATTGAATCGATTACCTTTTTCAATTCAGTTGGTTTTCTGAGCATCATCAATGTGATGTCAATGTTGGATATATCGTCGAGACCTAACTGAGATACCTTTGAAGATGACATGGTATGGTAAATAAAATAAATACAAAATAAATAATATTACGAAAAATACACAACACAAGCTAATCACAGACTATATTGTACTAAAATTTGTCAAAAATTTGAATTTCGAATTTTAGATATTTCTTTTTAATTTCTGCTTGTAAGTTGCCAGTGTGAGATACTTTACTCTTTGAATGCCAGTATTAATATGGTAAACCTATTTCGCAAAAATTTTCATTATATTATTTCGTCGCTAGCTACATATTTTTTTAATAAATATTCTGTAGATGATTAATATAAATCTACTATTACATTTAGCGAGTTATAGTAGGATGATATAAAATTAGTCTGTGAATACTAGCTATTATTGGAATCGTTTATATTACCTACCGAAAATTAATTAGAACGCGGTTACAATAAAATTTTAATCATAACAAATCAAAACATCTGTTCTAATCTTGGTTATTTAAGTTGTTTTGACTTCCAATGAAAGGAATGAAATTTATTTATTTATAAACTAAATAAGATTTCATTTATAGAAATGTATAGTGTCAAAAGTATAATGAAAATATGTTTAAAAATCGATAAAATATTATGCTTTATTTCTAGGAAATAAGTTTTTGCCCGCAACGTTTTAAGTGCCGAGTTGAGGCAACGCTTTCATTTTTAATTTTCATGGAACTAGTTCTGAACGTTAGTTTTGTTTAGTGAAAATTCAATATCGCTTAAGTAATGACTCCGACAGCATCAAAGCTTTTGCGATACCGTGTATTTTCAAGTCACGACCACACGATGCAATTACACGTAAATGCACGACATTAGTATTATTAAATAATTCCGACGGTAGTAGAACTAGTTTAAATTCTTTAAATTACGAAAGCAATGGTTTATGTTATAACTTTTTTGTTTATGTAACTGAAATGAGAAACAAGATGGCGGTCTACCTTAAGGAAAATAATCATTACAGATAAGAATAACGATACGGATATCACAAATACATGCTCAAGTGTTACCCCTCATTCGCAAGGACTTCCATACTGTCCTACTACCATATCCCATACTCTGTAATTATTTGTTAGGAATGGGATTGTTAGTATGTTATAAGTTTACCTCCATGTAGGGTTCCCCCTGGAAATCATAGTTTTAAGTTACTAGTAAATTTGTCACGATTGCCTGACCTTATCTCATGCTGGTCTTATAACTTCGCCACACTCCACTGGTGCTGGAGGAGACAAGCTAACAAAGGCAATTGCACCATGCTATTATCATTAATTAAAAAAAGTCTGTAATGGTTTGTAATTAAAATAACAGATAGCAATGTAGTTGTTCCATTAAAGAGAGGTAGACTTCAAGGCATTTTCCTGGGTAACTTAGTCTCATCAATTTCAGTGGCCAAGCAGTTTGCAGCTGACGCTTGCAGTGGTCAAGCTGTTTTGATTGTAGGATAAAATTAGGTAGTGAAATTACTGAGTTAAGATGTATAACATCATAGTCCTCTGAAATGGGAACACATATTAGTATCAATTGCACAGGTGTCACATGTTACCGTGATGTCCGTAGTGTATATATAGAGGCGATGATATCGTAAGAGTCTGTAATAGACGTATATGAATTAAGATATTTTGATGTGAATTGAATTGATTTACTTTTATTTTATTGTGTTGGTTACCACTTATCATCAGGCGGGTCCTTACCTTGTTTGCGATTCAAATTTCGAAAGAAATTTTCCTATTTATTGAGAAACATATCAATACTATTTACAAACATATTCCATACTGCGGAAGTTGTAGGTTGAGGAAATAGAGTACTGAATACGATCTGCAAAAGCTCTGACGTTACGGTTCTCTCGGGACTTGGGTAGGTTTTAGTCATACAGCAGCGAGTTTGTATCCTTGGTTTAACCTTGTTGACGAGAATTTCGTTGACTATAAAACAAATTTATTTTTGTTTCCGGAGATAACAATTATTTTAAGTGTATATATGGATCTGATAGATCGTGGTCTAGTAGTGGATTATTACCACGACTCGCATAAGCAGGTCGTAAATTCAAATGAGATAACAAAAGTTTATGTATTAATTTATATTTTTAACTAACTCTACGGTGATGGAAACACCGATAACAAACCGAATTAATCCGAGAGACGGTGGTTGACTGCTACCCACACAGCTGTATACATTTGAATCAACTCTGACAGCCTGCCTGTCTCAGTTGATTCGAATAAACGGAGCGTGATGGAGAAATCTAATATGGTATAGTGTTATCCATATTGACAATGATTATGTTTCGCAGCTTCATTCTTTGTGATAATGTATTACATTATATTAAACGGTAATAGCATCCAATCAGTAGTTGATTTTATTAATCAATCATTCCCTTATTTATTACTGCAAGTTACGTTAGATTGCAGATACGCTACATATGTATATCGCGGCAAAAGAAATAATTGAATAAGGATATGAAAAGTAAGCGAGTCGTATTTTTAAGAAATGTTTTAATTTTAAACATTTGTGGTAACATATAAAGAATTTGCGCATACATATATGAAACATACAAAGCCGTAACCCAAAGTTAGTTTATTATTAAAAAAAGGTAAAGGTGGAATAATTACTTTAGATAAAAGTTTACATTAAGTATATCTATTTAATATTAACCTAGTGGAGACTCAACCAAAAAGCTGTTTCTTGTTGGTTGGAATTGGAGAGATAGTAGTGAAAGTATAAATTTTTAATTATTTACTGTTTATATACCTGAAAAGGTAAGCTTACCTGATATATGATAAACATCACCTATGTAATAGCACTCGGAGTAGCGCCAGTAGCCTTACTCACTCCTGCGTTGTGCCATGTTTGATGGCCTCGGGGGTCCCGCGGTTTAGCCGCTTTACACCGCTTTACTTCCGATGGTCGCGGGTTCGATTCCTCGCACACTGTCAAACTCTTGTATACATGAGTGTGATTGTTTGTGTCGGTCTGGGTGTTTTCTATGTATAGCATGTATGTATTTACAATAAAAACTAAGTATTTATATATGTTGTCTAGTACCAATAATACAAGCTCTGCTTACCTTCGGCATAGATGGCGCTGTGTTAATTGTCCAGGGATTTTTATTGTGATTATTATTCTGTTTACTTAACTTGTTATTTAACCCTTCAACCAAAGAACAGATCTAACAAGGCAGCGATGCTGAAATAGTCATGCTGTAGTAGTCATGTAGATAACTTTAAAAAAAGTCCATCTCTGTAAAATAGCAATTTTTCAATTACTATAATCTTATTACTTTCTTACTCGTTCTAAATTGTTATTATACACCGATTAATGTTGCCCCTGAAAGGGTAGAGCAGGTTAATTGGAATTTATGTGTTTGCGAGAACAACACCGGCGAAAGAATATAAAAATCTTTAGACTGATAGATATTATACACTGGGAAATCTGACTAACATATAGATAGAGCCTATTATATTATATATATAATATGATTCTAAATAAATGCATGTGACGAAAGTTAACACTCGCTAATTTAATTAAATTAATTATAATTTTAACAATCTTCAGTTGATGTGAATGTAAAAATTATTTTTACTTCAGAGATATATAGAACCAATACCTAAGTGATCTCTCTATTTTTAGGTATATGCATTTATAGCTTTATTTCTTTTTATATATGTACATATATCCGTTCTGGAAATTCTTAATGTTGATTGAAGATTCAGTAAGAAATTATTTAATGTTTCAATTATCTTCATGACAGGTTTTTTACAGGGTAGTTAGAGGTAACAAAGTTTCACTTTAAAGCGAATTAAAACTATAAACGATCTAAATGAATTCCAAATAGCGAGGACACTTTTTACTTTCCTTTACTACGCAAATATTATAAAAATTAAAAAAAGGAACTGGGTGAGTAGATTAAAATTTACACGTGAATTACGTGACGTCAAGTAAGTTGTATGCAGTTTTACGTTGACCTTTACGCGTCATTGTATGTAAATAGGCAATATTTAAATTTACAGAACAAATTTTATAATAAGTGTAAGTACAGTGCGAATGAGTGTACATGGTGTACAGAAATTGCGCAGAGTAGCGGCGCGTGGCGTCTCTCCGCCACCAGACGAGTTTGTGCCACCGCGCGTCGCACGCGTGTACCACCGCCACTCGCGATCGCGACAGCCTCGTGTGCGGTACATCACTGAAAAATATCACAGTACTTTTATCAGTCACTCGAATTACAAGTGTACATTCACCCACATTACACCGCCGACGTGCGCGAACACACAACAACAAAGTTTTGTGCAGCTGAAAACTTTGTGTGGAACGGAGTGCGTTTACGCAAACAACAACAAACGTTTCATAAAGTACGTTCCGATTTAAGTTTTATTGTTTTAAAGGTTAAGGTTGTTGACCTTTTTTTTTGCTGTACAAGGCAACCTCGTAGTGACGTCAAATTGAGTGCAGCGCTAACTAGATTAGATACGCTAAGCCCGCTTTGTAAACGTACAGATAGACTGGTAAGGACGTAACAGTAGGACGCAATATGCAAATAAACCTGTGACGATATAACCCGATTCATTCATAGATAGTCTATTCAAGGTCTAGAATAAGCTTGAAAATGAATCGTGCAATGCTATCACCAATATCTAAGTATGCCGGTTTAAGTAGATACTATTTAGTTTTGTGATTGACGTGTGAAAGATGTGCTAAGTTGATATATACATGTCTAATAATCGTACCAAATAGGCAGTAAATTTATATTAGGTCGTATACGAAGTTATTTCGTGTCGCAGAAAATGAAATTCCGAGGAATGTTGATTTGATTTGCAATACGGTTGAAATAATAACAATACCAAGGGAATTCAAAACAGTTACACGAGGCTTTATGATTGCTATCGTTGGTGGATAACGAACTTTCTTAAATTTTCCCGCGTAATCCGATAACGGATTTTGTTTTAAACCGTTTGACATAAGTAGTCGTAATTCACTATTTTAAGTTTTTTATTACCTATTGTTTAACAAGAAGGTAAAACATTATGTTGTTTTATTTAAAAATACGTATGAAGACTTTTATGGAATGGTAAACTTTAACCTATTTTGAATT